AATATTATTATATTTGGACTTAAACACCCCTCGAAGGATTTGTCCGAAAGAAGATAGAACATTGATTGTTCAGGTCGTTGGCACAGAGACCTGGAAACCAAATGAACTTGGTCAGTCTGTTTTCTCTTCCTAAAGAGAATAAAATGCCCCAAATCAATGGGTGGTCACCATAGAAATAATTCAGCTCTAAGTCAGAGTGACTGGAGTATCTATCTGTGTACTGTTTCCAGTTCAGAGGGTAAGGCAGATACACCTGAAACTTCTGGATTAAAAAAGAAGTCATGTGTTTAAAGAGACTATTGATTTCTTTAAAAAAAAAAAAAAGGGGCCAAGCCCGTGGCGCACTAGGGAGAGTGCGGCGCTGGGAGCGCAGCAGCGCTCCCGCCGTGGGTACGGATCCTATATAGGGATGGCCGGTGCGCTCACTGGCTGAGCGTGGTGCGGCTGGTCTCAAAAAGGACAACAACAAAAAAAAGTCCTGTTTGGATTTTGGTTGGGATTGCTTTAAATCTATAGATTTATGGATTTTAAAGAATGTATTACATTGTTATTAACCATAGTCAAATGACTGTAGTGCAAATGACAGAATTTCCTTCTTTTTAAAGACTGAATAGTATTCCATTGTGTGTGTGTGTGTATATATATATATGTATACACACATATAGTGTGTGTGTGTGTACACACAACAATATGCTTTCATCTGTTGATGGACACTTAAGTTGATTTCATATCTTGGCTATTTTGAATAATGCTTCAATGAACATGAGAGTGCAAATATCTCTGACATACTGATTTCATTTCCTTTGGATATGTAATTCAGTAGTGGTAGTTCTATTAATTTTCTGAGCAACCTCCATACTATTTTCTATAATGGCTGTACTAATTTACTTTCCTACCAATAGTGTACAAGGGTTCCCTTTTCTCCACTTCCGTGCTAACACTTATCTTTTGCCTTTTTGATAATAGCCATTCTAACAAAGGTATCTTATTGTAGTTTTAATTTGCATTTCTCCGAGTGTTAGTGATGTCGAATGTTTTTTCATATACCTGTTGGTTATCTGTATGTCTATTCACATCCTTTGCCCATTTTTTAATTGGGCTGTTTCCTTGCTATTGAGTTGTTCACGTTCCTCACATATTTTGGATATTAACCTCTTATCAGATGTACGGTTTGCAAAGATTTTTTTCCATTCTGTAAGCTGTCTTTTTACTCTGTTACTTTCTTTGCCATGCAGCAGCTATTTAATTTAATGTAACCCCATTTGTCTATTTTGCTTAAATACAGTTGCCAGTGCTATTTCCGCTGGCTCTCCTATATACCCTGATCCCTTTTACCCTTCAGATATCAGAGTATGTATTAGGTCCTTGGAGACCCTTCCCTGAGCTATTCTGCCCTAATGATCTTTACCAAGTGTTCTCTTTCACATCACTCTGATTTCTTCTATATAATATACAAAATGGGAAATTATCTTGCTTTGTTTCTTCATTTATTCACTGTCTCATCCCAACAGGCTATAAGCTCCAAGATGGGAGGTGCCTGGCACATCTTAATGCTATCTTTAAGCCCTAGACACAATATTAGTTTAATGAATAAGGTTTGAAGCCACTCATAAACATTTAAATTAGTTCAAGAGAAATATATTCTTGATTTCCTCAAAATAGAACCTAAATAACTTTTGTGCTATGTTTATTTATTTATTTTTATTTTTATTTTTTTTCCTTTTTGTCTTTTTTCGTGTCCGGCAACGGATCGCAACCCTCAGTGTCGCGCCCGTACCGGACCGGGACCGGCAACGGGATCGCAACCCTCGGTGTTGTGCCCGCACCTCGCTCAGCCAGTGAGCAGGAACCGGTCTGTATGTGGGATCCGAACCCTTGACGGGAGCGACGCCGCGCTCCCAAGCGGCGCACTGTAGCAGTGTGCCACCGGGCCGGCCCTTGTGCTATGTTTAGCTGATACTTTATTAAGGTAGCAGAGTACATAGAAATAACTGTCAGTATTTCTGATTTTCCATTGTTTTTATTCCTGGGAAGCAGAAAAATCCTCTAACTTTTCCCATGAGGACACTGAAGCCCAGAGACGTTAAGTGTCATCCTAGCTTGGTGGCCAGAGCCTGAGCTCATGATTCCTGATATTTGGATGTGATCTTCTCTATTAAAGACAGACTAGCTGTGGTGTATAACACTGCATATTCCTTTTCAGTATATCTGAAGAGAGTTCTCTCTCTCATACTAACAGTCAACAGGTATCTTGGTTCACAACTAAACATATTTATTCATGGTCATAACCAGACTAAGAGGATATTTATTCACTAATTTACTTTGACACCTGTAGGATGTTCTCTGAGAAAAATGATCTTGCAAAGGGATGGGATAGAATTCAGAAAGCATCACATAATTTCAGAAAGTAAATTTTCTGTAATGGGTCATCGTTCTTAAGAATAATGGATGCCTAAATAAGGTTATGGCTATGGCTAATCAACTGAATTTAATTTTTATTAAGGATTAACTGCACAGAGAAAAATATATTTGTGAAAAACTGACCTATTAAATTTGGCTACTTTTACTAACACTCATCTTTTATGAAATCTACTTGTTTTCTCTCTCTGACATAAGCAAACTCAAAATGTATGAGGCTATTTTGGAGAAACTCACCTTTAAGTGCAAACAGAAGGAAAATGAAATATATAATGTGCTTTAAAGTTATTAATTTCCAATTAAACATTTCTATCAGTTTCATACACCCATAGTAAAAATCAGATGCTCACAATATAGCATTATTTGTTTGTGAATTATTACAATTTGAAAAATGTTGGAATACCACAAAAAGTTTTTTTTTTAAAAAATTTTTGCTCTGATCTTTATTATTTCCTTCCTTCTACTAACTTTGGCCTTAGTTTGTTCTTGTTTTTTCTAGTTCTTTGAGATGTACCATTAGCTAATTTATTTGGGACCTTTCTTTTTTGATGCGTTTGTTGCTATAAACTTACCTCTCAGAATGGCTTTTGCTGCATCCTAAATGTTTTGGTATGTTCTGTTTCCATTTTCATTTGCCTGAAGACATTTTTTAATTTCCCTTTTTCTTTCTTAATTGACCCATTGATTTAGGAACATGTTTAATTTCCATGTATTTGTGAATTATCTGAAATTTCTTATTTTTAGTTCATACCATTGTGGTCAGAAAGAAAAATACTTGATATGATTGTGATGTCAATGTTCTTAAATTTAAGAATTGTTTTGTTACCTAATAATGAGCTCTCCTGATGGATGTTCTGTATGTGCTTGAAAAGAATGTGTATTCTGCTGATGTTAGATGGAATGTTCTGTACATGTCTGTTAAGTCCATTTGGTATAAAGTATGGCTTAAGTCTAATGTTTCCTTATTGACCTTCTGTCTGGAAAATTTGTTCATTGATGAAAGTGGGGTATTGAAGTCCCCTATTATTATTGTATTAGGGTCTATATCTCCTTTCAGATGTATCCAATGTCACAAAAAGATCTGAGACACTGATTCACTACTTAGTTCATGAATGAGTGAGGCAACTAGGAATGCTTTACCATTCTAACTTAACACTCATGAACAACCTGTAGGTTTGTCATGATCTTTATTTTACTACTGAGAAAACTGAATTAAAAAGAGTAGGTAACTTGTCTCATGCCACGTAGCTTATAAATGGCAGTGCTTAATTCTGCCCCAGGGCCGTTTACCATCAAAGACCATATTATCCCCAATGCAGCCCTACCGCCACCACTAGGTTCCATTATATGGTACTGACTTTCCAAGATTTTTGACTATGACCCACAGTTATACTTTACATCACATGTATATACATGTATACATCCTCATAATTGAAACAAAATTTCACTAATAGTTCTTAATTTTATTGACTGTGATGACTGACATTTTCTATTCCATATATTAAAAATGCTAGTTGTGACTCAGTAAAGTGATATGACACATCAGTAGGTCTCTACCTGTATTTTGAAAGTCCCTGACATAAATGCCCTGTTTAGATAGTTTGCAACTATAAAAAGTGCACGTTGTATTTTACTGACAAAGCTGCACGGATCAATCACTACAGGTCATTTTAATAATCAATTCAAAATTTGGTGTTTTCTCACCTCAGGATCTTCAGAAAATCAGCTAATATAAAATACAATGCCTTGTGACTAACAAATCAAATTGGATGTAATCTAAGTAGGTGTACATAAGTAGGAGAGAAACACACTAGAGCCACCTGAATTGAGGTATGCTGGTCTATGACTTGAGAGCATTGTTTTGTTTCCAAGCTTACTGTCCTTTTGTGAAAACCCTTGAGAGTATCAACTACTACTAGGGCACCCATAATTTGAGTCCAGCTCAAAGGACTTATTGTGCTTAAGCCTAAGACTATTTCCCACAGTCCCTCTCTCCTACCGAACCTCTGCCCCTTGCTCTAGTCTTCCCATCTCACTGCACACTTCCCTGTGCATGAGGTTGGAGCTGTACACCCCAGGACTTGCCTTGCAGAGATGAAGCCCAGGAAGAATGCTGACAGGAGTGGGAGTCTAGTTCTTCCTGGATAGAAAGGCCTTCCTCAACTTTATCCCATGTGACATAATCTTCACATTGTGGTTTTTTAAAAACATACTTGTAGACATTTTTGTAAAGTTTAACATAGTATCAATGCAGTATGTATGCTTCAGTGTGAACAACCATTCTGGCCATAAAAAAGGGCTTTCAGTACCCTTACACAAGCAAGTGATTCTTCATGTAAAAATCATATGTTTTTGGTATTTATAGAAAAAAAGGAAGGTGTTTTATTCAGTGAGCACGTAATTCCTGCAGCTCCATTGAAATGTTTAACCCAATTATCTTACTCTTTAATAAGGGTGAGTCTTTCTGTGAATAGCTAGTGAAATACAACATAGAGGACAAGTTATATGAACATTCCTAAATTGAACACGAATTATCTGTACAGATAAACTACTAAGTGCTATACATAGAAAGTACAGCAAAATCATTTCACTAAATCAATATTTTATTTGTTGTCAAAGCATTTTAACTGTGAGTTACATAAGTAATTTCATCAGTAATTTTAGAAGAAACACTTCCAGAAAATATTTTCATTATTTTATTATCAGTTGTGCTACTAGAAATAATATTGAAGAGGGAGTTAACTCTCAATTTATGAAGCATTTATGCAGGTATTTTTTATAACCACTTAGGTACAAAACTTTTGTAAGAAAGATAACTTTTATTGCATTATAATTTCATATTTTATAGGAGTCATAATGCAAACTCATAAGCATTAATAAATACATGTACAACCAAATGGCAATGTAACTACTAAAAAATTTAAAACAAACTAGAATTTAACAGGCAAAATACATAATATGGCTTTTAATGGAAAATAACTATTTAGAAATGATTTGTTATTGCCCCATTCTAGTCATTCCCCATCAAGTGAACATAAAATTATGATCTTCATTTAAATGGTACATGTCATCTGAGCCAATGTTGTACACACTTTCTAACATGTAGTCTGCAGTATGATTCATGGACTTCCTTAAATATACATACATATGTACATATATAGATATACAGTACACAGTTCTGTTGCAATACCCCTGAACATCTTGAATGAAACTATGACAATTTTTCTATTATAAAACTACTTGAAAAGTTGGCATAACTTCTTGGTGTAGAAGTTCAATCCTATGGAATTAAAAAAAAGCAATAAAATGTTGGTTATAAATACAGTCTTTACAAAAAGTTGAATAGTGGTCCTGCACTCACACTTTATATTACAGTGAAAACATTTTACTCATTAAAGGTATTTACATCTTGTCATCCTTGGTTTGTGTGTGGAATATACAGAAGTTAATCGTGAGAATATTGTAGGTAGGCCTATTTGTTCGGTTTCTCCGTTAGTTCATTTTTGTGTAAGTTCCAATTCTCTTCTTTTGAGTTGTTGTTTATTTCTATTTGCCTTGTATTACTGCTGCTGCTGCTTCTTTTGGTGTTCTGGGAACACTGGGCCACTTTACTTCTAGGAACAGGAAGAAAAGATTTAACTCTTGAAACACCCGACTCGGTCTTTGACTTGCTGTTGCTGCATTCCGTAGTTGGATGGCTGCTGAGAGGACTGACCTCCTGTAAGGGAAGAGAACCAGTCACATTTGCTGTCAGCCATAAATCTTCCTCCTGTCTGTCTCTGAGCAAACACACAGGAGTCTCCTAACCACAGATTCTCATGAAAAAGTAAACAAAAGATAATAGAGAAGAGAGGCTGAATGATTAATTCCTATAGACTTACTGCTTGATTTTCATTAGGCCCTTCCTGGTGTCACAAAATTCCCAAATATAGGAGGCAGGGGATGAATCAAGTGTTAAGGAGTCTGGGATTTCTTTATTAACAGAAACCTCACAAAATCCTAGGCCTGAGGAAATCACCAAATCTGACTAGTTCAACTATTTGTAGGCAGCTCTGCAAATAAATGATGTCACCTTGGGTAAGTCACCTAAATTTTCTGCTTTCTACTTTCAGATCATTAAAATTAAAAAAATGGACTATTACTTGATAAGCAAGAAATATTTTCTGAGCATTATTATAAGACAAGCACTTTTTCTGGTTGCTCGGCATACAGCAGAGAACATAAAAGAGAAATAACCCTGCCCTAATAAAGCTTATGTTCTAGTGAATTAAAGCTCCTGTGTGGCGGTTCTACAATTAGGTGGGTCAAGATCTACCATACGGATGGGACGAGACCTCAGCTAGCCCAACTTCCACTGAAGGAGTTTTTTCCCTGGTTTTCAGAATTTAATGCAATATAATAAACGTGACTTGAGGCCTACTAAGTGAGCTGCTCTGAATGCCTCTGAAGCAGTTGACATCGATTACTTTCCCTCTTTGAAAATAGTAATGCATCCAAACAGCAATGTAACCAGTAAAAGATTTAGAACATAAAACTAGAATTTAGCAGGTAAAATACTGAACATGGCTTTTAATGGAAAGTAACCATTTGGCTTCAGTTGGTGGTTGTATTCTCCTGGGTGTCTTCTTAAACCAGTGGTTGCCAACCTTAGCCATAACACTGGAATCACCTGGGGAGCTTTAAAAACCATTGATGACTGGACTCTATCCCCAGAGATTCAGATTTAGTCTAGAGTGTGGCATGGACACTGGGTGACACGATTCTCACGGGCAGCCAGAGCTGAGAAGCCCTGCTTTAACTCACTATCCTTTTCTCCACTTCTGCCCATTCTGAGTATTCCCATTATCATCTCTACTTAAATAGCTCCCAAAGTTCGTTCTTTAGTCTTCGTTTATCTCCTGAACTTGAGTACTGCGTTTCCACCCACCCATTGACATAACTCACCTCTATGGCTAGCCTGCACATCAAACTCAATTTTTCTGAAACCAGTTTATTGTATTTCCTCAATCCTACCCGTTTCTGAAGGCTTTCCTCTTGTCTCAATACTGGTTAATGATGTCCTCCAGTTAACTGAGCAGACGACCTCAGTTATCTTTAACAACTGCCTCTCTCCCCCCAACTTAATCCAATGTGGCCTGCAAAAGGGGCAAAGAATCATGGCTGTTTTGGTGCAAATGGAAAAAAAGAGGATTAAGTCCTCACTGTATAACAAGTCCCAAACTCCTAAGCATGTCACTAAAGCTCTTTTTAATTTTGGCTCTGAACTCTTTTAAATCCCATTTTCCCTCCATTTTCACCTGTTAAAGTCCTAATAATTCTTTAGAGCCCAGCACAAAGTGTCCATTAAATCACTGAAGTATCTACTGGAACCAGGTCTTCAGAGCCAGCTAATCTTAAATGGCAGGACAGCTGTGCTAGAGGTTTCAACACTTCTGTTTTTCCCAAACATGAAGTATGTAATGAATGAAGAACAAAGAGGGGATTCATAGGGGGTTCAGAGCACATGCATTTGCAGGGGAAAGGAAAAAGAGACTAGACTGCAAAAGTTTGGCTTAGGAAGGAATAGCCTCCTGTCAAAAGTTCCCTCTTTAGGGAATCATAGAACAGCTTGGTTCTTTTGTATTAGAAGGACCAACTACCTCCAAGGAGCATAAGAAAAAGGCTGAGCTACAAATGGTTAGAACGCACACATCCCAGTCGATCCCTGGCACCTCCATTTGTACTTTATGGTAGGTTAGGGGTGAACTAGAAAATAAAACCACACTCAATCTGATTAGTATGTTCTGCATTTGTTTTGTAAAGAAGCTTATGCTGTCAAGTAACCAGAAAGAAAATGAGAAATAGTTACATTGCTTGTGGTGAGTCGGATGGCTAAAGAGTCACATGCTAAGACATGGCTGTAAAAACACAGAAAAGGTACCATAATCCAACCTCATTTCTCCTTACAAGAAAGTCCTCTTTAAGTCTGTAAAATGGGACTTGGCCATGGGCCCAGTAAGGCTAATTCCAACTTATAATTTGATCTACAACACCATGATATTCAACATGGCATATTATAGAATAAGTTAGCATACAGAATCTATTAGGGGTGGATGGGTGAAGCTAACTATAGATAATATTGCCATTATTATTGAACTCCCCCTCTGGCAATCCACAGTTAGTACCAAGGTGCACAGGGAGGAAAGGAGACACACTATGTGTGATTTTCAGGTCTGTCCATTCGTCTGTTGAAGGCAAGGGGAATGCATCTTCATGGTCAGAGGCAGAAAATGCCCATATGAACTACCAAGAAGCACCCACAATAGCTAAAAATGTGGTTGTCAAGGCTGGGTGTGGATAGGTGGGGCTGAGTCAGTCTCTAGAGCTGTGAGGATGCTATATGAGGTGTGATGAAAACATGGAGAGTCAAATGGGCTTAGTGTGGGCCACAGCAATTCAAGGCCAGGTGTGCAAGAATAGAGCAAGTGACTGTGCAGTGTCCTGGGTGTTTAATGCTTCCTGGGCTAAACCCCAAAAGTTCTCTACATAAGGTTACTATTAATGTTGCTGTGCATATTAAGCTCAAGAAAAACTCCAATTTGCATAGAAAGGCACTGCCCTAAAGGAAGTTTTACTTAGCCTTAAAGAATTATTGTTAAATCAGCAATTCACTCATTCCTTCAATACTAAGCATCTACCAGAAGATAAGAGGATACTGTAAGCCCTCCAGATGGGACAGTAGGGGGCAGAAGGAAAAGGAAAGCATGTAGTGAAGTTGGCATTGGAGATGGATCTTTAAAGGTGTATAGGATTGTGGCAGGTGAAGAGTGTTCTATGGGAAGGGGAAGGGTGAAAGGACAGATGAGGGGAGGTGTGGGAATAGTGAGTTGCACGTAAAAACTTACATGTAAAAAACGAGTTATGCGAAGATATACCAACCTCTAAGGTACATGTGGAAAGAAATGGGGTGGAAAATCAGGATGACAGATCAGAGCTGTGCTGTGGGGGGGAGGGGGTCTCAGTCCTGGCTGCATGTCAGAATCACCAAGGAGCTTTAAAAAACCCGATCTCTAGGCTGCACCTCAGATCAGTTATGTCAGAACCTCTGACACGGGAGGTTTAAATAAATCCTCAAGTGGATTATGCAAACAAAAATGAGAACTATACAACTAAAGATGAGAACTTTTGCTTTAGGGGGATTAGTTTGCATTTAAATAAAAAACATTAGTATTTTGTTCTTTTGATGACTTAAACATGTGTGTATTTGTTGTTTTAATTTAGAAGTCTGGCTACATGCCACCTGATTAATAATCCCCATTACATTCCCTTACTGTTAGAGGCGTAAGGAGTTATACTGTGGCAAATACCGACGATAATTTACTCATGGTTGTTTTTCAATGGATAATGGTGTCTACAAGGTCCCTCTCTGATGGAGGCATCGCCAGCCTTCTGGCCATGAAGGAGAAAGTGATTTCAACTAACCTAGAGAGCTCTTACCTCTAAAGAGAGTTACTTCCTGATAACAGAAGAAACTGGGCATCTAACCAAGAAATGCTAGTTCTCAGGAGGGTAGAAAAGGAATGAGCGCGCCCAACCAGTGCTACTGCGCCCTCTGCTGGCCGGTCTGCAAAACCATCTTCTGGCTATCGGGGAAGAGATCCTCTGTGGAAGCAGCTGTCCTAATACCCACATTAAATTGCACCATTAGAAAACCATGTAGTTCTTTTGTAAGAGCCAAGGTAGTGTAAAAGGACCCATTTACTTTTTTTAAAAAGTCTTTTCAAAAATAAAGCTGTCCTGAGCTTATCTGACCTTTGGTACTATTTTTTATGGACAGTACCATTTTATTGTAGCAACCCACTGTGACAGAGGAAGGTATACAAAAATGTCTCCCTTAGACAACAGTAGCCGGTCTCTACCTGTCAACAGCACCTGTGTGCAGAAAGTGGCTCAGGGCCCCGTCCACTGATTGTTTCACAAAGAATCCTGAAAAATGGTCCTGGAGGCCCTTTGGGTTTTCAACCTAAGCTCAGGGCATGTCATCATACACGGGCAGTGAGTTGGGGCTTTAAAGATGGCAAAGGGACACCCCTGAACAAAATATTTTCCAACCAGAATTCCTAGTAGGGGCCCCAGGTCACCCTCCCTTAAATGCTCTGTAGGTCTTGTTGTGCTTCTAAACTGGTCCCAATTGAAAAAGAAAGAAAGAAAAAAAGCAGACATTATAACAAAGTGAGCTTGAAAGACATGCTCTTCTTCACAGGTCATTTTGTCATGTATTTTTTTATTAGGGACCCCAGCTCTGCAAATCTCCACTCCCACACACACTGCTCACATAGTTCCATGTATGTAACTAACCAGGACCGAAACCTAAAGAAACAGTGAGAGGGCAGAAGCTGTGCAGCCCAGAACTGCTAGGTGATCAGGTAAAGACCAATAGTTTAATGATCTCACCACGCTTACTTTATAATCCTGCACTTTGCATCCCACCTGCACAGGTCTTTGAGGCCATCTTGGGAGTAGATGAGAACAGGATGGGAGTGGCAATGGACATGGCTTGGTGAACAAACTGCATGTTACTAAGTGCCTCACAAAATAACTAATGGGCAAGAAATGTCTTATTGTTTCTGTTCACCCAGTTGAATCCTTCGGTGGAACCCGAGCAAGTTATAACTATCTTATTATGCTCCCTTCAAGTAATGCATTTATCAAGAAAGCTTGGTCAAACTTGCTGCAGATATCAGAGTATCAAACAAATGCAGATCTTCTAAAAAGTTCTTTTATGGCTTCTGTGGCATGCTGTACCATTTCTTGCCATTTACTAACCAATCCATAATGGCCCAGCGCCACAGCCATGGAAGCTATTTCAAGAGGTTAATAAAGGCTATTGGAATCCTGCCTCTGCTATTCTGACTTTTTCATAAAGGAAAGTTTCTCACTGAATGTAATGCACGTTATGGAAAGTTAGGAAACATTTTTCTTTTCTTTGTTTTTTTTTTTTGCATGTAAAAGATCTTTATCACTTAGCTGTTTGCTATAATTAACTCCATTTTTCCAAAACGCAGGAAATTGTAAAAGTTCTCAAGTGAAAAACAATACATTTAAAAATGGAACAACCAAGATGACAGAAGTTACATTACTTCTAGTTTTGGTATATGGGGATAGAGATCGTCTCAAAAGACACCCAAGATTTTGGGATAAAATTTTAGGCATTAAATAGAAGGAAAAAAGTAATGCTTTCTGGTTATTCTTTCAAGATATTATCCAAATGATAATGTTTCTAATCTTGATTAACTAGTAAACACTTTTATCCTATTTCTAATTTCCTAGCTGCAATTTAAAAACAACTTTGTGATTCACACTGAGAGAAGATTTGTGCACTCAATTCCACAGCAATTCTTCTTTGTCCCATTTTGGAGAGAAAGGGATGCCTACCTTTTGTGACACTGGCATTCTTGGAATATTAGCCATTGCTGAAAACGCAGGGTTGTTTCCTGAACTATCAAACCTTCTTAAATCATCCCTGGAATCAGCAATCTGGAAAACATACAATTTATTAAGTCACGTTTCTACAGTAACACTGTGATAACACTCAAGGCACAGCTAAATGTCACCATGGGAAAACCCACCGAAGAAACATTATCCTTATCCTCTTCTCCAACCCTCAGAAGTTCTATAGAATATATCCTCAAATCCTGTAATGTTCACATGAAAGACTTGACGCCTTCATGTAAAGCTAACAGCAAATGCATGGAAATATCCTCTAAGGAAAAAGAATCTATTAAAGTCAAAAGAAGACCAGAAAAACTGTAGGTAAAAAAAGTCACCTGGCAAGTAAAGAAAAGATATTAAAATCGCAAGATTTTAATCATTACCTTATTTTTCCAGGGGTAAGTTTTTCTATTCATTTCCAGCAAGGTTAAATAAGATAGTCAATTCTACTTTGTCCTAGGGATTATGACTATTCAAATAATAGTTGGATCTTTGAGTGGAACCTGAATGAGTTATAACTATCTTCTTATGCTTCCTTGAAAGTAAAAGGAATTTGGCCGGCCCGGTGGCGCACTGCTGTAGTGCGCCGCTTGGGAAGTGCGGCAGCGCTCCCGCAGAGGGTTCGGATCCCACATACAGACCGGCCGCTCACTGGCTGAGCGAGATGCGGGAGCAACACCGAGGGTTGCGATCCCGTTGCCGGTCCCGGTCCGGTGCGGGCGCGACGCTGAGGGTTGCGATCCGTTGCCGGTCACGAAAAAAGTCAAAAAGGAAAAAAAAAAAAAGAAAGAAAGTAAAAGGAATTTATCAAGGAAGCTTGGTCAAGCTTGCTGCAGATATCAGAGTGTCAAAACAGGTTGAACTTGATGCTGTTAATGCTTTCTTTGAGATTTCAGGTCACTGGTTTCTATATTTGGATCTCAAATTTCACAGCTTAAAGACTGTGATGATATGCATTACACAGGCCGATTATTCTCTTACTGATAGATGACTTATGTTCCAAAAGCACGGAAAGTGCTTTTCGTAGGAGTACAAAAAGCAAAAGTCTGAGGAGACTCAAATGTAGGCTTATATGAAAAGCTGTCTGGATGTGCTGGTGTGACTTGTGGTAACGTCATTAACATACAATTTTTATTACAGGTTTTTCTGAGGAGTTTAGAAAAACCAGCTTTACTAAGGCCTCCCTTATTGTGTAAATAATATTTTGGAAGAAACAGCTTTTCTAAGCAAGGTGAGGAATGGTTTGATTTGCAGCATTTACCATCCTGTTCAATAAGAAATTTCTTTTAGGGAATAAGTGTCAGGATGTGGCTCCAAGAAGTCTCTCTGCTAGTGGGGAGAGCCCTTCAATACCCTCACCCATTTGTACTGCTTACCTTGCTTATGTCAGATTCAGATTTGCTGGAGCACATGCTCTGAAGCTCCTTTACAAGATCTGCTTCATCATCCGAGCCCAGAGAGAGTCTCTGATCCAAATCCAATGTCAATGACAGGTCATTCTCTAAAGACCTAGAACAAAGTTCAGAAAAGAGTTTTTCAAAGTGAAAGCGACACCCCAAATCTCAATATGGAAACAGACACTAATTTATTTTTGGAATTTGGTGGGGGTAAGGAAGTATTTGATATTTTTTAAAGTATTTCACACACATCGTGTAATGCAACAGCCCACTCCCAGCCCTGAGATTAGTATACTAAGGTAATACATTTCCACAGAATTTTGATAACTCATACTCAAAATTCTTAATAGGATAAATTTTTCTTTTACAAACAGATCGACTTTGACTTACAACATTCCAATCTCCTTACTCTTCCCTTTTCTTCTCACAATGGAACAAATGTAAATTTCAAACCTGCCTCTAATGCTCACTCGCAGTGTGGCCATGGGTCAGGTTTTCTTTTTTCACTCCTTAACACCTCCATTCCTGGGCTCCCTTCTCTTTAAAGAATCCTTATGCCTACATCCTAGAGTTACTGGGAAATGACACAGGTGGTCGTATATAATGAATCCAGCTGTGGGCCTGGAAGAAAGTGGCAGGTGGTGCAGTTTCCTTTACCTCCCTTCCTTCTCTCCACCCTTTCCTGTAATGCTATGGACCAGAGGACCAGGTCCTCAGCCAAGTGATAGGGCACACAATTTATCGGGCTACAATGGGGACCTATTGACAAACTGTCCAAAAATTTCTATTCCATGATTAACCAAATTATTCTTTATGCCTCAACATTTGTAAGCTGAAATCAACAATTCCCTAGGAATACCATATATCACTGTAAACATTTGGCATTAAAAAATAAAGACTGTCTAAAAGTTCACAAATGTAGAACTTTTCCATATTACTTTATGTCAAATGGGTTAATAATTATCACGTTTGATTTAAAAAGAATGAAGCCTATAATATTCAACAAACTAAAAGCAAAATAGGGTTTATATAAAGTTATATTAAGCTTAAACTTTTTTTTTAGATTTCAGTTTAATACTAGCATTTGCATGACATCTAGTACTTTTTAAAAAATATTAACAGCATAATAGTTGCACAAACTAATGAGAATGTAGAACACTTAAAATAGTGATTGAAGTTACTTGATTTATCTTTGTTTGCTATGAGTGAGATCTGAAAGGGAACTTACTTTTGTTTTGACAGAGATGTATTCTTGTTACAATTCAGCTGTGATATAGTCTTGTTTTTCATACCTGTTAAAAAAAATTGTAATCATTTTCAAAAGAATGGCTTGTTGTCCTATGCATCATTGAACTCTGTAGGACTTTCTATACTGTTCTTGGATAAACATCCACCTCTTGAGATTCCCCCCCAAGGACAGATGCTTTGGGCATAATAAACTTTTTCATGTACATTTATGACTGAATTCAGTACAACTTCAATTCAGGAATCCTGAACTTCACTTTTATCAACAGCCCCTTTCCCTGCCTTCCAACATCACTGACTATGTAATCGAGAGTAGTTTTGACTGTGGGCCTGTTAATGTACTGCAGTGTATGCGGCACCAGCGGTGCACTTGTAGAAACCTAACTTTCCATAGCTTTGCATTATACAAAAAAGAAAATATAAGAAGTATACAAAAAGTCATGGAATTAAAAAATAGTCCAAGTCATACCAATGTCTTTCTTTTTTTTTTTTTTTTGTCTTTTTTCGTGACTGGCAACGGATCGCAACCCTCAGTGTCGCGCCCATACTGGACCGGGACCGGCAACGGGATCGCAACCCTCGGTGTTGCCCCCGCTCCTCGCTCAGCCAGTGAGCGGCCGGTCTGTATGTGGGATCCGAACCCTCGGAGGGAGGCCGCCGCGCTTCCCAAGCAGCGCACTGTAGCAGTGCGCCACCGGGCCGGCCCATACCAATGTCTTTCAAGCTACAGATTATAACCTACTTAAAAAAAGAAAATAATCAGCCTGTACTGCTTGCAGTGAATATTTTGACTTGTGTCGGTTATACATACTCACAAATGCATAGGTTTGTGGGTACTGGGCATGTGAAAGATTTCTCACTATGGAGTATGGTCAAAAAAGTTTGAGAACCACTGTTATAAACCATTTTAGACTCTGATAAAAATGTTTGTAATACACACTCCAAATATTATAAACTCATTAAAACATTTAGTTGCTTCTGAGTAAATTTTAAAATTGTATGAATATTGCCAGTACAAATTTTCTCTAAAAAATGTTTTTGAAAAGTAAATCAAATTTAATATATGCTCATTAAAAAAAGATCAGAGATAATCCACTGTACTAAAGCAACATTTTATGTTAAGAAATATGATTTTAGCCACCACATATATATATATATATTTTTGATCTGGAAACCCCACTGCTGTAAAGTTGGCACAAAATTCCGCAAAACAAATTCTTTGGACGGGCAAGTGGAGGGGGCTCCTGAAGACCTAAAATGAATTACTTCTATCAGAAATACATAATGGGAACATCTTTTCACTCTTACTCAAATATAGAGTTCCCTTAGAAAGGATATTTAAATTTTAACTTATACGTTAAAATCTGATATTTTGATATGCTGTATAATGATTGGGCCAGGGTAGTTAATGTATCCATCACCTCATACATTTAGTTTTTCTATGGCAAAAAACATTTAAAAGCCTCTCTTCTAGCTACAATATAATATACAAAACTTAACTGTTAACCAGTCACCGTACTGTGCACCAGAACACCAGCACTTAGTCCTCCTGTCTAAGTGTAACTTGGTACCTTTGACCAACCTCTTCTGTTTTCCCTCCCCCGTCTCTTCTAGTAACCACCGTTCTATTCTCTGCCTCTATAACAGAATAGGAAGGACATCTATAATTTGTTTAATTGCTAATTATCGTATTATCAACACCTGAAGGAAGAAGTCTAAAACCAGGGATAGATATGTCTTTGTTAGAACAAAAACTAAGGAAATGTTCTAACGATTCATTATCCTGTAGGGACAGGGATTTGTTTCCCTGCTGTTTTCATTGCTTTATGTCCAATGCCTTAGAGCCTGGCATATGGTACATGCCATATATCAAAAGTATGTAAAACTAATCCACTCAAAGGCCTTAAATTGTATCAAATATGCCAAAGTGCAATGATTTTATTATGTAAGTTTAATTGCCAACACCAAGAAAAACAAACTAAAAAGAAAACCATTAACACAATAAAAAGAAATGTCATTTTAGAAGTCTAGCATGAAAGTGGTATTTTTTAGGTAGGGGGCTCCCATATATTTTTGGAAATGTACCCACACTACATAGTTTGTTTATTCCATGAAAATGTGCATTGAAATACTCAGAACTTCATTCTGCTGAATGCATAGTGAGAAAAACGAAGGCCTGCGTGCTTTCAGAAACTGGATCGTGAGTGCCCAGCTCCTCCTAGGCAGCACGCCTTACCTTCATTGCTCAGGTCCGGCTTATTCCAGGTGGGAGAAGAGAAACGGCCAGACTTCTTGCGAGGACTTGTGTTCACCTTTCTCCAGGCACTGCTCTCTCCCTTCTTCTTGCTACAACTGTTGTAACTTGAAACGATGGATAAGGGGAAACTTCCTCCTTTGAAATCGGCTGTGTACTGGTCTAACTCTGAAAAAACACAAATCACCTTTTGTCAAAAGAATAGCGGTGATAATGCAGTTTCATCTAGTAAAGCAAAATACATTTCCAGTTCTTAAAGAGATGGACTCTTCAAAAATCACAGGCCTGTTTAATCCCTAACCCGGGGTTTTGTGAGCCAGGACAAACTTGACTTGGAGGTCTAGAATTCAAACATGAGCCAGGAATTAAAAGCAGAGTTCTGGAGCAATGTTGTGAAATGGCAATTAATTTCTCTAGTGACAGAGAAAAAAGAGCACTCTAAAAACACATTCCAAGAAGTATTAAATAAGGGTGTGAATTTCCTCTCCTGTCTGTAGAAACCCACATACCTGCTCTGGGGAGGGGACAGCCATGCAGGACAGCTTTATTAAGCAAGATGCTGAGAGCAGCTTTAACCACAGCCTGCTGTCCTTGGCTTGGGTGTTTTTTAGCAGTTGTCTGCCCAAAGCCAGGCTGTCTTTTCACAGAGGCTCTTGACAATATAGCTTCTTGAACTCTGGGTGCAATGACGGCATTCCACAGCTTAGACATCCACCTTGCAAGAGAGAGGCAGATTCACAGGTTAGGAGCAGGCCTCTCACGAATTACACCCAACTCTACAAAAGGACAGGTTTGAAGACCATGGGGGGAATAAATGTTTCCATAGGTATGTTACCTTTCCCAAGTAGTTTTAGAATAATTGAAATTATCCAATACCAAAGTAGTTTGAATTTGCCTCAAAAATACAACATATTTCAAATGAAATTGTTTACATGTCTCTCCCAATGAAGGAATCAGTGCTTGAGTGAATACACAGAAAGGAAGGTGATGACTGAAGAAGTCTAGAAAAAATTAGATTTCCTAAAAGTCCACGTCTAAGTAGCATAAACTTATTTCCCACATTTCCTTAACAAGACACACATATTGTATTTTAATATTTCTAAAATAGGGATACATCTTATAGTCACTGGCAAATTAAATCTGCATGCCCCGAGGCAAGGGCTCACTGGTGCACATGGGTGGGCTCAGCCCTGAAGAGAGGATGGGTCAACGAGCCAAGACCTCAGGTGGACTCTGTATTAACAGCTATAAGCAGTGGCACTTTAGCCCAACTTTGGAATGCTGGATGCAATTAAGATTCTTTCAATAAAAATTACACTTTGTTACAGCCTTTAAAAAGTTAATATGATTAAAGGCTAGAAACAAAACCACATCTCCCAGGATAAGTAGGTTTTCAAAGCTATTAGATATTGGCATAAGACTTTCAGGTACTGTTAAAAACTATTACTTAGGTATTAAACATCAATCTATTTTAAGTTTCTCTGTTAATGTCTAGTGATATGTAATTCAAGAAAAAACTACAACAGACAAAATTTTGGTATTTTACAACAAGTCAAAATTGCACAGTCATTCCTAAAAGTGCTAAAGGTGTAAAGATAATAAGCTTTGGTTTTTTTTAAAAAAACAAAGCAGCTTCGACACAGTGTCTCCTTCAGGAACAGAGGGCAGATTTGCTTCCTAACCAGGATAATGAAGATGTTTCCTTCCAGGACAAAGCTTGAACAGATTTGCCAGCATCCCCCTTTAAATGACTGGTGTGTGTGTTCCCAAGCTGTGATGCAAATCCAGCATCTACTTTGGCCACTAGGCATCACCCCATGGGACTTGAGGGGCAAGGGGAACCTGTGTAAACAATGAAGCTCAGGCTGCCTGCTTTGCTGTGAGTGGTAAGTCCTTTGTCTCTGACCTGGCATCCTGGACAATGGAGGCTAACTTGTTAGCTTTCAAATAGGGTAAAAATCTCAGAGCCTCCACAGTTTTTGCCAAAGACCATGCTCCATATAGGAAAGGCCAAAATTTGTTTCTTTAGTATCTTGAGACTCTGGATATAAAATAGCCTTAGATTTAATGAAGAAAGCAGTAATTATACTAATAAATGATTTGGTTTTTTAGCAAGAAAATGCTGTGTATATTTAATATAATACTTCTTCCTTTCCCCCCAATTAGATGTTATTACATTGATGGTTTCTCTTATGATAGAGAAGATATATTATTTGCATTTCCTGCTTTCCAAAATGGATTGCTGCCCAGGAAGCCAGAAAATGCAGAATCAAATCTGCTAGCTAATCACAGAACACTTACTAAGCTGGGTGGTGACAGGTTTTTTTCCTTTCTGTTTCCTCCTGATTTTCTATTTCATTAACCTTAGTGTATACATGTCTGTTCTCATAAGCTGCTTCAAAGGAAAACATAGTACATAAGTCTCAATAAAGGAGAAAACTTTTCAATTCATAAATAGAATGCTGTTTGTTTTTTTTGGGGGGGGGCATAAAATACTTGACAGAATTTCTCAGGTGGGACCTTACCCAGGGGACACTGCACAGCAATCTGAGCATTACTCTGATGAGAGTTTTGTAACAGAGGGAAAACTGCCACCTAGCTCTTGGCAAAAATACAGTCGCCTTAGGAACTACACAACACACAAGTCACACTCACCCTCTGACAGAAGCATGGAGCACTGGCATTCCGTGTTGATGACAAAAGGTGGCACAAGGCAGCCCAGTCAGTGTTCTTACTGTCAAACATCCCAAATTTGCCATGGCTCTATTTTTAGTGGGTAAATAAGGAGAAATGGCACTTACTTCACTGTTGCTTGGGCATGTCCTAGGACTACGGGACAAGACAGGAAATACTTGGGCCCAAGAAGTGCTTCAGGTGTGCCCAGGCGGGCCAGGCAGGAGTTGAGCTGCCGCCAGACGGACAGAGCCCAGTCGACGATCTTGCACACAGGATCGCTGGGTGAGGGCGCCTGACCTCTGAACTAGAGAGACAGGGAGGTGCAACACAGGGGCTGGGTTTAGAACAATGCTGCTCTTCCTTTTGTTTCTAAAAGTCCAAAATTAAAAGTTTAAAACTATAAAACAAAAATGGAGCTGAATATGATTTTACCTTCACTTGGGGCAGATGAAGGAGGGATAGCTAATGTGTGTTAATGTGTGTGTTAGTGTGATAGGCGTTTTTCTCATTTAATTCTCCCCGCAAGCCTGGGGTAGCCATTTTTACCCCATTTTACATATCAGCAGAATAAGGTACAAAGAAATAATAACGCCCAAGGTCACATAGGTAACAGGTGGCAAAGCCAGGGCTAGAGTTTATTTACTTATTTTAATTTTTTATTAAGGTATAATTGACAATAATTACATATATTTGTGGGTGCAATGTGTTTTCATATATGCATACATTGTGAACTTACTAATTCAAGCTAATTAACATATGCATCACCTCATATATATACCATTTTTTTGTGGTGAGAACATTTAAAATCTGTTAGCAGTTTTCAAGTATACATTATTATTAGCAATAGGAAGTTTATTTTTAATAGAAACAAAGTATTAGGATATAGCATTAACTGAAATAATAAAGGAGTGGTTTATCACATTTAAAATGAAGTCAATAACGACTATTAAGCTAAAGAATCTCCTTTTTTCCCCTCAAGCTTAACATTTCTTTTTTTCTTTTTTTTCTTTTTTTTTTTTTTACCAGCAAGAGGATTGCAACTCTCAGCACAGTGTGGTCTGCACCATTCTCAGCCAGTGAGCGCACCGGCCATCCCTATATAGGATCCGAACCTGCGGCCTCGGCACTCCCAGCGCTGCACTCTCCCAAGTGAGCCACAGGGCCGACCCTCAAGCTTAACATTTCTTTTTTTCTTTTTTTTTTTTTTTTTACCAGCAAGAGGATTGCAACTCTCAGCACAGTGTGGTCTGCGCCATTCTCAGCCAGTGAGCGCACCGGCCATCCCTATATAGGATCCGAACCTGCGGCCTCGGCACTCCCAGCGCTGCACTCTCCCAAGTGAGCCACAGGGCCGGCCCTCAAGCTTAACATTTCTGATGATCTCTCAGAGCTTCACTCTCTATGGGCAGCCAGGGCTGAGGGGAGAGAAAGATCTGGCTTGGCTGTGTGGGCAGTGGACAGAGGGAGGTGTCACCCCAGATGTCTCATCAAGACCACATGTTAAATAAGGACAAGGCGGGCATAGTTCTCATTTTAACCTGATCCCCAGGGAAACAATATTTTTTTCTAGGAAATCTCAATGACTGTCCAATAAACTACTTCCAAAGATCAGACTGTTAGGTATCCTTACGGAAAGGCATTGCATAATTCCCAAAGGCAGAATGAAATCTGCCCAACCTGAAGACCTGAAGAAAGAGGTGGGCACCCTTCTCTCCAAAGTGCAGATGCTGTTTATGTAAAATTTTTCATTTTGCAAGTTGGCAGTTTTATAGTAACAGTGGTATTATTTGATGGTACATTAAAACTGGTGTTTCATTAAAGGGACTATCCAATAAATGGAATTTCCAGTTACCACACTTTTTTTCCCCTTTATATATATATATTCATTTAGCATAAAGACAATTTTATGGAGATGCCTAGAAGCCCATATTTAAAAACATATTTATTGTATGCCTACTATGTCCAAGCACTAGTTATTGCTGCTAAGAAGGATTAAAAACCCACGTAACACAGTTTCTGTACTCACAAACGATAGAGGACAAAAGCAAAGGTGAGTCAAAAGCTAACCGAGAGCAAGTGACCAGTGTCAGGGGAGGGTGAGGTTTCACAGAGTAGAGCAAGCCACCAACCAGGTCCTGCAAGTGCCTCCCTTTTTCTCTGTTTTGTTTGTTAAGTTAACCATCTGTGAAATGAAGCAGTTGGGCCAGGCTCATTATCCTCAAGATCTCTTCCAGACCGACAAGCTTTAAGTACAGATACAAGCTGAGATGGTAATTCAAAAGAACAACTGACTAAGTACGCGTGGTCAGGAGAGATAGGGAGACGAGGTGGGACTTCAGCTGGGTCTCTCCCAGGGTGTGCAGGACACTTGATGGATGAGGGGACGTGGAAAGAGCATCCCAAATACAGAATGGGCAAGGGACTGTGGGGGAGGGGTGAAAATGGATGCTGACGTTTGCAAATGACAAAAACAAGCTTCTGCAAGAAAGCAATTTATGTAACTGTTACTAATTCGAGGTGCTGCGCCTGATCCCCCTGCCTCACGTGTGCCCCGATGAATGACCACACGGCCCGTAGCTGCCCTTTAGTTTCCCCACACACCACGCTCTTCTTCCCCGTGTCCAAGACTTGCTGCAAGTGCTCTTCCTTCTGCCTGGACCCCCTGCCTCTCTATCTCAGCAACGCTTCCTTCTTTAGATCACAGACTAACATAACCTAAAAGGCCTCAAATGTGAACACAGAGAGGCCTTCCACCCACTATATTCCTCCCCTGCCCCAATTTCTACAGTGATACCTTATCTGTCCATTTTACCTGTTCACTGTAACTAGTGTAACTTTAGTGTCGTGCCCATGAGGTCATACAGAATGAGAACTGAGAGTTCAGGGTCTAACCTGAGGTCATGTATCAGACTCAGGGCCCTGCCTTCAGGAAGAGAAAAGGATTAAATTACTTAGTTGAATCCAGTCCAGTGGTGAAATGCCATGGGAGGGGGCTACAGACTCAAATCCTACCTGAGAATTAGGTACCTGTAAATTGAATCTACCCAACTGGAGGGCATGGACTTAAACACTCTACATACATAGCGACTGTTAAAAGTGCTCTACTGGTTCCTCCTGTGATTCAGAAAACCTGAGGCCAGAGCACAAGTCCCCACAAAGCTCCCTGGCTGATAATACAAACTCAGCCAGCCAAGAAAATAACCCTAAATCTTCAAGGGGAAATAATCGAAATCTCTTGAGATGGCAAAATTCTTTTTTGGGGGATGGGAGTAGGACATATTTTTGTTTTCATAAATATCCAGGATTAAATATAATCAAACCTATATTATTACTAGTTTCTGGGTTAGGATGAGGGATAATAATATATCTTATATTTTTAAGTACGTATAATGTTTAAGAGAATTTCATATACAAGGGTACTTCAAAAAATTCATGGAAAGATTCATATCTTTCAATTCTATTTTTCCATGGACTTTTTGAAGTACCCTTCTTAGAATAGCCTTATGAAAGTTTCCACTTTATAACAGTAACTGAGTTACTGATTTAGGGTTGTGATTTTAAGTTAAGAGGGATAAAAGAATTTTACTATGTTTACATAAATGGTATAAGAATTAAGAAAGCATTTGAGTCACCAGATTTATAAATGTAATTTTCTAGTTTTATAAGAGTTAATTAACTACTTGGAAAGATTTACTTGTTAGACAGCAGAACTTCTCAAGAGAAATAAAATATATTCCTTTTAAAAAAGTTTTTAAAGTTTTAAAGGCCAATTAAACTATTTAAGAGAATTTAATTAACTAAGTTACAAGTGCCCCTTCAAAAGTGATTGCTAAATTTTGCTAGATTTATACATAGAAAGATAAAGCTTTCGCACTGAACTTAAAAGCTTGAGGGAAAGCTATTTGGATATACAACTCTAATATACTAAATACATTTTTAAAAATAGCACTAAAATAGCACTTGAATAATCTCTTCTGTATAAAAACTGTTCTCCAAGGCCCCTAGCACCCGACAAGGATGGTTCCTCTGCAAAGGCCTGTCTCTCTATGAGCATGGGGAGGATCCCTGTGTTATCTCAGTCCCCAGGCTAGTGGCAAATATTTACTAAATAAGCACGTAACACTGTTCTGATGCATCTCAAACAAATGTCTGTGGTGGTTTTGATGTGTTTTGATAATCAATTTCCATAGCTACAGGTCCATCAATCCAGGTGCTGGGTCTTCCTTGGTCTCCCACAGAGTGAGGACATAAAAAATGCTATGACTGACTGACCGGGTGAACAGCCTGGAAGTTTTAAATCTGGATGACTGACATAACAAAAATGGAAGTCAGAAGGGGAAGCCAGGAGTTAGGTTTGGGGTTACAAAGTGTTGAGATTGGCTATATGGGCAGTTTAAGGCGTACTAAATTACACAGATCACTAGCTGAATACAAGAAATTAATACAAAATAGAGCAGGAAGGAGATTAAGGAGAAACTTGGATGAATTCTTAAAAATCAGTTCTGGAAGAAATCAATATTCATATGTGTATAAAGTTCCTCAAAGGACCTTGCAAATCATAGATGGTCAGAAAAGGTTTCTGAATTAATGAGATGACATTAAATATTTCACATTCTGGGTAAGTGATAAGACGGTATTTCTGAATCTGTAGCATGTTCACCTTGTATAATAGTGACAAAAAAATTTAACTTCCCTGAAAGGAAGGTCTCAGTTAAAATGCTAACTTCACCAAAATGTACAGAGCTGTGTTAGCAAAAAGAAATTTGTTTTCAAAATTTTAAATGTGCAAATTTTAAATAATACTGCGTAACACACATGACGTAATGTGAGCAATTCTGTTTAGAATTGTATTTTATAAAATCAAGTCCCTTTTTGGTAATACAGAGGGTTCACCAAAGGACAAAGATTTATTTACTATGAGAAGAAACATCCCTCAATTATTTAGAAGTCAGATATAGTAGTTAACTTTTGTATAAGAAAGGAGCTGCACACACATCTTTGCTTTACCCAGTAATTATGATATTAAGACTAGGGACAATTGTGACTTGAAGGAAATAATTTGGCAAGTACAGACAGTGTTTCAGTGATCCCAGCAGTTCCACTAAATTGCTATCACTGCACTACATGAGGCTTTGGGATCTATTTGATAATAATTTCCCTTCTCTTCAAAAGAAGGACAATCATATGTATCTCTCAAACTTTCTCTGATATTCTTCTAGCAAGAATTCTGAGATCGTGTATTATAATTAGTGATAATTGAATATTAATTTTCCACTAAAAATGATATTATTTTTTATTAACTACTAGTAGAAAGAATACTATTGCCCTGAAAGGGCAATTTTTCTCATATCCTTGTAAGGAATAGGAAGAGGAAATTTTGACCAAGTGCCAGCGTGCGTCTAAGTGCCCACAAAGATCAGGTTCTGTGGAGTTACAAGATTTCTGATGTTATGCAGTAGCCGTTCATTCCCACTGTACACTTACCCCAGGGAATTTGTTTTACTAGCCTACTTCAACTGATCCCTGATAAAAGAAAGGCATTATCCTTTCTATTGAATAGAAAGACTATTCAATATTTATTGAATATTGAGACTATTGAATATTTATTTCATTATCCTGTGAAAAGTCACTTAAAGTTATTATTACTCTTGAAAAGGTGTCAAAAGGTATAGAATTCTACTTTGTCATATGACTTTTTAATATTTACCATAGCATTGCATAATAGCTGAATATTAATGCATGCCTGAGTAGATGGGTAACTCCAAGGAAGCAGTTAATTTTCTCTAAGAAAAGTGATTAATTTTCTAATCTAGCATTCCACAGCATTCAGAACTTGGTGAGATTCCATGAGTACAGTTAATAAAACAGGAAAACCTATTTACGTTTTCTTGTATAAAACACGTCTAGAAACTATTACAGGGTTTCACATTCATTAACTTATTTAACCCTTGAATATCCTCAAATTGTACTTGCTTGAGGCCACACAGTAAGTGATGGAACTCAAGGCCAAATCTCCTCACAACTAAAGTTTGCCGCCCCCTTCCCAGCAATTGGCTGCAGCTGCTGTTACCTTATTCACAACTTTTCTTCTTAAGAACCTGTGCAGCAGGCCTTGCATGGGCTCCCCATCCCACCGCAGCTGAACCCAGCGGAAATGCTGCTGCACCAGCAAGTCGGAGCCCTGGAGACACGCCTTGGCAATGGTGCCCATCAGAAAGCAGTTCTCATGAAAGTAATAACATTCGGACATTCCATTTCCTAAAACAAACCAAAAGCAATGGTCTAATCTCAGAGAGTCCTTTTATGAGACAAATGCAAATTAAATTAAGTTAGAGAAAGCAGAACATAAAGTATAACTCGTATGCTGGGGAACAGAAAGATATCACAGAAGCTGCTTCTCAGTACAGCCTCCCCACTATCTTTACCTTTTTGGAAAGTACAGGGGCTTTCGGTGCTGCGATTTTCAAGAGGTGCCAAAAAGTCTCCCAATAAGTCAGACAATGAAGATTTTTCCAAATTCTCTAAGATGATGATGATTTTCTTCTTAACAGGAGATTGCTTCACTGGGATCAGACAAGCTGTGGTCAAAAAGAAGATTCAGTGATGAAAGCTTTTACAAAAACCTATGCAAATTGGCAAAAATTAAAGTCTGAAGAAATAAAAGTATTAGCAAAGATGTGGTACAATGGGAATAATCTTAAATTGCTGGGGAAGTATAAGGACTCTGGAAAACAGTTTGGCGGTATTCAATACAGTTGAAGATATGAGGGGACTTCAAAAAGTTCACGGAAAGATTTGTATTCTTTCTTAATTTTATTTTTCCACGAACTTTTGGAAGTACCCTCTGACGTATACACGGTGATATGACACTCCTAGTTCCATAACAGATCCCAAATGGAATCAACCCAATGTCCATCAACAACAGAATGAATAAATAAATAGGAATATATTCACACAACAGATATGAAAGTGAACAAATTACAACAACATGGAAGACTACGAAAAACAATATATTAAGAAGCAAATCTCAAAAGAATATATACAATACGATTTCATCATGTAAAGTTCACAACAGACAACACTAAATATATAATTTAGGGATTCGTACATAGGTAATAAAACTATTAAAAAAAAAAAGCTAAGAAATGATTATCACAAAAGATTGACTAGTAGTTACCTCCAGAAGGGAGGGTTTGTTGTCAGGGGAGTGGGCACACAGATGCATTCTGGAAGCTGTTCCTATTCTATTTCTTGACCTGGGCATTGGTTAAATGGTTATTTTATTTAAAATTATTCATTGATCTGTAAATACAAGTAGTATGTGTTTTTCTGTGTGTCTATTTCACAGTACAAAAGGTTACAAACCCTAAAGTGACCTTTAAATTAAATATATGTAAAATGTTCATAAAATTATGTTGACAGGACCTCAGAGAGATAAGCATATCCCTCCCCTCATCCTACAGATCTGAGAGGTGGAAGTGATTTGATTAAGGTTTCAGCAACGATGTTAAGGAGTAAAATCTAGGACTTCTGAGTCATACTTTAGTAATCCTCCCACTCAGGATAGGAGGAGCTGACTTCATATCAACCCAGAATAAAGGTCAGAAGTAAATGGAAGATTATCAATATATATAGGAAATGAATAAATCAATACACAAAACATTCTTAAAGAAGTGCCCGACACATACTAAGCACTCAAATGTTATTAATATTTTAGTTAAAACGTACCCAGCACTTCCTATATATTAAATAAAAAAATATTAAAATCACTTTTTAATTTTTAAGAAGATTCTAAGATACCCAAGTCCTTGCCAAATTAACCTGGAAAAAAGAGAGACCAATTTAAAATACTTGAGAGTAGTATTGTCAAGTACTCCACTTTTCACAAATACTTATTATAATATGAGGGTACTTCAAAAAGTTCGTGGAAAAAAAGAATTGAAAGATAAATCTTTCCATGAACTTTCTGAAGTCCTTTGGTATATTCTCTATTCCTTCTTGTTACTATAGACACAATGTATTTTCACTTTCAAAAGAACTCCTTGAACATCGTAAATTAATCTCTTTTCAGACTGAAATGACTTTTCCAGATGCTATAAAGCCTTAAAAACTAGAGGACTAGAAACCATAACAGCCACATCTCAATTTAGCCGTACTTGTGAAGACTGTTACACTAGTGCTTGGTGTGAGTCGGATCCCATTCAACACAGCTATTCAGTAAAGAATGCTAAAATCCTATGCTTCTCAGCGTTCAAATTTTATTTTAGAAATACCTGTACTGTGGAAGGATGACAAATTCACAGGTGGTTAAAGCAAGAATGATAAACTAACAAACCTCATCTACTCAGTGATTAAAAAAAAAAAAAACACACCAGGTTTATGTGTGTGTTTTTCTGTAACTCGAGACTGAAAGTCTCCAGTTTTTCCCTGATATGTGATAAGTGTCTGGCTAGTTCAAGTGGTGCTGAAGCTGCTGCAGCCAGCTAGAATGTATTGGAAAGAATATTTAATTGCATTTCACAAATATTTATCCAATACCTCCTTGCTACATGTACTGTATGCTAAATGCTACAGCACGTGGAGCTGACTGATTCTAATTGGGGGCATGTGGCATTTTAAACTGGGCCTATTATGAGGAATGGCATCTGAACAGATGGACAGGTCAGGGAAGGCTTTCTGGGTTTAAAAACAGCACAGGCAGAGGAATGGGGGCAGGGCAGGGCTCAGTCTTAGAAGCATCAAACCGAGGTCAGAATGGGCAAGAATGGCATGAGGTGAGCTCAAAGCTGACCCACACCTCAGGTCGGGACTGCGCCGGGCACCTAGGGTGGAGCCACATGAGTGGGATAGGATCACGCAGTGACAGCTGTGGCCAGCAGGAGAGTGGCAGGCTGTGTCTTCATCCTGGGCTGTGTATTAGAGTCACCTAGGATCCATCCCCAGTGATTCTGATTTAATTGGTTTGGGTGTGGGGCACTGGCATTTTGTAAAAGCTCCCTTATGACTGAAATGTGTAGCCAGGGGTGAGACTTGCTGATATGAAGCTTCAGAACCTGGCCAAAAATGAAAAGTGGGAGACCCAGATTATTATCAGAGGAGGGAGAAACACCAGCTCTGGGAATCAGTAGAAGTCTTTAACGATGGGGATAAATAGGATTTGACGCTTGTTCTGAGATCTTCACCCTGGTGCAAAGACTTGACTGGAGAGGAAAGAAATGGGAACACACCTACTAAGGCTCTTACTGCCGTGGTTAAGACAAGAAGTAATGGGAGCCTCATCTAGAGCCAAGGCACAGAATGAAAAGGCATTTTGAGATAGATTCGATAAGGCTCAGTGCTTGACTTATTGAGAGAAGGGCAGAGAAGAATCCACAACAGCTCTGAAGCTCCCACTTGAGGGGGGTTGTGCAGTTAGTGGAGGCAGAGAGCACATGACTGACAACGTACTTGGGGCAGGGGTGGTGGTTGTGGGTTATGTGTCAGGCCCGATGTGTTTGATGAGTGAAGCACCATTTTGAGACACACAGCAGATGGTGGGACATGAGGATGGGAGCGACTTGGGAGGATTCAGGCTGGAGACAGGAGTGCAGGAGGTTGCTTGGACAAACTCATGCTCTTGGTCCACGAGCAAGGACTGTATGCTAATGACTTAAGAATCCCACATTTAATGGACAGTTTGTACCCTAGACCAAAATGGGGTAGGGCTGCTGTTTGTAACTGTAGGAAATGCATTTCTATCTCATCTTTGTTTATCGTGGTCTTCCCTGAGATGCCAGTCAAGGGTCAAACAGTGTGGGTTTTCGTGGTGAAACCTTTGTCTTCAGTGCTGCTGCCTCATTTCCTCAATTTTTCACTAGCACCTCCTTTTCCCCCTGAGCACTTAACGTTCAACATCTTTCAACAAGTTGGCGTAAAAGTGAATTTTATTTTAGTTGAGAAACAGAACACGTCTAGTTCAGGTTATTTAGCACAGTTTCAGGTCTAAAATATTACCCACAGAAGCAGAAACTCATTACAGTTTTGAGTTTTAGGAATTCACCAGTCTCTGATCGGGGTTTATGGAGATGTGAAGGAAGTCTGCTCACCCCATGTGACATCTGCAGATTCCTTTTGACCTGTACCCCCAAAGTTAGCCATTCAAATTCCCTTTGCGTTATGTCATTTCAAAGCTCTGTTTCTGAGATGAGTCTACTTTTTGATCTTTTTTCTTCCAACTTTATAGGCTACACATCCCTGCTTCTCTCCTGCAGGTTGCTAATCGTAATTGGACACCTTGTTCACAAGGCTCCAGGCCACATCCTAGGTTTACACACCCTTGTATTAAAAGTCCTGGATAATTTTACAGCAACACTTGTTGGTTTAAAAATAATTAACATATCACAGTTATAGTTAAACCCAAATTCTTCTTTGTCTAATAATCTCCCTTTTGGGGATAGAAAACAGCCTCTCTCTTCCACTGTCCAATCAAATCCAGGCTCTGCAGAAATGATGCTCTGAGAGTCCCAGTGAGAAGGGCAGGCAAACCTTCAAAAAGCCTCCAGCAATGCAGGGTCCAAAGAGATAAACTCATGTATAGAGGCTCCAATCATATTCTCCTATTATTATTATAGTAACCCCATCTCATTTTTTCTAAAAAGGAAAGTTCACTCAGGAATTTAAGATATTATTTTAAAATACCGATCTAGTGTTCATATTTTTTTTTGCTACTGTAAAAAAAAAAAGTCCCATGTAATTTTGAAAAATATCTGTCGTGCTAACCCAATGCATACCTTACATTGAAGAGAAATTTGACCCAACTCTAATATACTTTCACACCCTCCTTACCAAATAAGAGTCACGTGATGTGACTCTCTCACGAAAGGCAATATGAGAAGGAAAATGTTATTTTAAAACAAAATAAACACAAACTTATGCTACCCGGGGTGCTACGTCATTCTCTCTGCAGCGTTCTTTTGTTCTATGTTCTTTTCCTCACTGGCACCATCTTAATCTCCACGTAAGTTTCAGATTCTTAAAGCTAATTATTTAAGATACTTTTGCAACTCTTCCTTCTTGTACTTTTTGCTCATACACTTCTTTTATTCATTCTCTGTGACTCCTCACACTGGCTTTTCTTCCCTACAGGGTTGTAGAAAGGAACTAATAAGGTGCATATATGTGTGCTGAGCTCAGTGGAAGATAAGAGTACAAGATTCCAACCCCAGCCCAATCCGAGTAGTTTAAGTCTCTTTCTTTAGAGAAAATAAGCTTAAAAATCAGAAGTAGGGCCGGCCCGGTGGTGCACTGCTACAGTGCGCTGCTTGGGAGCGCGGCGGTGCTCCCACCGAGGGTTCGGATCCCACATACAGACTGGCCGCTCACTGGCTGAGCGAGCTGCAGGCGCAACACCGAGGGTTGCGATCTTGTTGCCGGTCCCGGTCCGGTACGGGCGCGACACTGAGGGTTGCGATCCGTTGCCGGTCACGAAAAAAGACAAAAAAAAAGGGAAAAAAAAAAAAAAAGAAATCAGGAGTAGGTAGAGAATACATCACGAATCAGTGTATTCCTCAATTGTAGTAATGTCACTTGAATGATTTAATTTTTTGATTAAAAAAGCCAGAGAGTAGCTGATAGATAATTCCTATATCCTCATTATTCTAAAAGGTTGAGCGAAACAGCCTAGGAAACCCTTGTCCCTCATCCAGATCTCTGCTTTCTTTATCCTCCATCCTCTCCCACCACCTCTTGACCAAAAACATCATTCCCTGCTATGTGCATTGTGTGCGAAGGAAAGACTGACACCACACCCATTGGTGGGTCCTTCTCTCCGACTCATGGGAGACTGCCCTGCACATCTCAGAAGCCCCTGGTGTCCCCACCTACTCTACTTAAGTGTGCATTCTCCATTATCTCTTCATTGGTCACCAGTCAATAACAGTGGGTCCTACTGAGGAGATGGTGGTGGAGGATGGAGTTTTAGGAGACGAGGATGGACAGCAGCCGGGGCTAGATGCTCAGAGACCAGACCACAGCATTCCTGACGTAACATTCTGAGAACGTTAGCTTTCATTCTGGAACCACTGGAGTTTACCAGCAGGGCACTGTCATAAGTGGTTTTGTATTCTAGAGTGAGCCCCTGGAATCCCTCTGGAGGGTCTGTGGAGGGAGTGAGACCACAAAAAATATAAAGGTTAATGTGATGAGGCCTCCATCGTCTCTGCAGCATGAAAGGCTGGGTGGCAGGGGGAACAGAGAGCAGGAAGAGGACATGATCGGACAGAACCTAGGGACTGCCCAGACATGGGGACAAGGCAAACAGGAATTTACAATGCTCAGGTCGCTCACTTGGGCAACCGCAGTCAAGGTCTTAACAGAGGAACTTTGTATTTGTGTCTTCGTTTTATTAAAAACTGAAGGAGGATCTTGATACTTACAAATTCCTAAGCCAACTACAGAATAAAAATCGTTCTAGGTTTGGAGATGACACACCATTTCCTACTTTTTTCTTAAACTTTTTTGGTCTCAGTCTCTTGTTCAATACCTTTATTTTTCAAATCCAAATCATTCTGTTTTTATGCCCTGTTATCAATGATTCCCTTACCGATTCCTGTCCCCTCTGATCTCCTATCTCTAAGCAAGTTCTTCTATTTGCTGACAATTGAATAGCACTGAGAATTCCCTTTTTCTTTGCCTATGCTACTTCCTCTATCAGAAAATTCACCCATTCATTCAAAAATAACTATTGGCAATTAGTACACAAGGCTAAATAGAAGGACAAGCTAGAGCACTAGCTTCCAAGGAGCTCATAATATAACACGTATGTGGGGCAAAGCAAGAGCCCAAATAATACCCTCACTGCCTTGGCCTATAGTTAGGTGGGGCATAAGGAATAAACAAAGACTACTGCTCTTCACTAGGAGGAGACATCATGTCTGGAGTGATCAGAGAAGCCTTTGTTTGAGGCGTCCTTACAGCTGTTTCACAGAAGCTTTTCCTATAGTTTCTAGAAGTGCAGAGACCATGTCTATTTTAGTCACTAGTGAACAACATCCTACTTTGCATGGTACCTGCCATGTGCTAGTCCTTGTGTGTGTGTCTTTTGGGGCGGGGGGGATCGAGGGGAGTTTATGTGTTTAGTCTAATTCTAGTGGAAGCTGCAGCATGAACAAAGACATGGAGAGTAGAAAAGCAAAGAAGCATAGGGAAAAAACAGCATATTCTGCTGGAGCACAGGCATCTTTTAAAAAAGGGTCAGAGAAGCAAAACAGGTAGGTAAATGTCCTAGAATGGAAGGCCTTGAATGGCATGGACTTAGTTCAGTGGGCAATGGATGGATGTGGAGGGGCAGGAATCACAGACAGCTTTGAATCAGAGGCCTGCTAGCCTACGAAGGACATTCGTGGGGAGCAGTCAGGAGAGAAGCCACTTACAGGAATGCAGATGCGTTACGGGCAAAGGGCCATCAAGTAAGAGTGTACCACTGGGAATGCATGAAAAAGGCACACCGAGACCGACTTGGCAGGATGTGACCATGGACTGGCTGTGGGACAAGGGGGAGGGGTCCATAAATGACAGACCCGGGGGTTCTATGTGGTTCTCATGTTGCTTTAAAAAAATTAAAATAGTTGACAACATTGAAAGAACAAAACCCAAAACTTTTCACACAAAAACCTAGATTTCTGGCTTCTTCCTAACAGGCATAAGACCTCACAACACTGGATCTATGCGTCTGATGTAACAAGTCTCTGGAGCCAAGAGCTGCTGCTGCTCATGTAGACGGGGACACGATGGCCCCTCCTTTTGCAGCACCACCCAACCATTGTCACCTTTTAATGTGGCTTGTTGGCACTTGTGGGCATTCAGATTTTCAAGCCTGCTAATAGACCCAAGTTTTAAGTGTGGGAGCTGCTAATAAGACCTGAGTTTCGAGTGTGGGAGCCAAGAGTCTTGGGCCACTCTCCGAACTGAGAAATAAGGGAGAGGGATTCTCTTTAGGCAGATGTCCACTGTAGACTTAGAAATGCTGAGCTGTCACCTCTGCATGCTTCACAACCTAATTCACTGCTCTCCATTTTCTTAGCTCTTTAAGCTCAGAACAGAATTCAGTCTGTATTTCCATCTGCCCTGATAGGGTGAGAACACAATATTTTAGCTTCTTACTTTGAGATGAAACAAGAGCAAAAGTCGAAAAAATGTGGGGGACTTTAGTTAGATAACTAAGAGGGAAAAATAGACATTTTGGCACAGGGGAGTTTTTAAGGAGCAGTGGCTGGTAGTAATTAAGGCCAGGCTCGGGAGCCAGATTTCATGGGCACAAATCCCGCTCTATGTCCTTGCTGTGGGATCTTTGGGCAGGGTACTTAACCTCTGTCTCAAGTATTTTCATGTTTATAAATCAAGGACGGTTACTGTAGCTGTCTCAGAGAGCTGTAAGTTAATAAATGCAATGTTTACAATAGGACCTGCCAGAGTAAGAGCTTAATAAATGTTAGCAACCATTAGTAACATTATCAGAGAAAACAGCTTTCTATAGGTTACTTTCACTAGTTTCTAGTCAAAGACTGGCCTGTGGAGTACAGTGCCATCAGATTCTGGTGGGACTTTCCTGCCCCCAAAATGTGCTTCTAGGTTTGTGGAATCCTCAGTGAAATCCTCAGTCCTTCCCCAAACCTGCCCCTTAATTTTATTTCTTCATTTAGGAACTGCAGATAATTTCTGTCTTCCTAAGCCTGGTCTATAGCTGCCCTGGCCATAAGATATCTCCCTTTGTCATGACTCCACAAATGAGAAGCATTCCTCCCCCTAAAAAAGAGATTTTGCATCTGTGTATGGAATAATCCTTCACGGATCTGCCTCCTTCACCCCCTCCTCAGTTGTCTCTGAGGCTTTGAGCCCCTGGAGACTGAAGTCTGGCCCATTTCAGTTTTGTGTCACAGTCACTATTCAGGGTTATGCTAACTCCACCTGTGGTGAAACCTGAGGTGTCAGACTCTGGAGGCTGAGAGAGAAAACTCATGAATGACTTATACTAATAAACATGTTTAATCCTGGTTCTGCTTCTACATAATGTGGCAAGTTACTAAAATTCTCTGTGCCCGTTCTCCCAGCTTTGAAATAGAAATAATGATACCTACTTGTATAGTGTTGTTGTGGAGATTAAATGAGTTAGTGTGTGAATGTATTTAGCAAAGTGCCAGTCAATGGCATACAAAGGGTGAGGTGGAGAAAACGGTTCACTTAGATGCTACAATAAAAAGTGCTTTGATTGTAGAGAATTTATGAACAATAAAATTTACTAAAAATTGATCTGATTTTTATCACCACACTCCAGCAATTCTAAACAGCAAAGATACAATGCTAAGTCCCACAAGGGTAAACTGCTCCTACCACCTCATCCCTTGGTATACCAATGGTGCCAGTTACTTAGCATGCTCACAATTCATGAATTAACACAAAAGATAAAAAAGAAAGAAAATGTAGGATGTTTAAAAAATGCAATGAAATACATATGAAAGTAATTTTTTGCAAGTGTTCCAATTTTCATCCCATAGCTGCTGAATAATTGAAAGTCTGACTTATTTATCTCCAAGCAACAAAGTTTATTTCCTTTTAATGGCATTGTTGAAGAGCATGCCTTTTGGCTATCACAATCCCGTTCACTGAAATGGACTTACCATTACTGATGAACAGGTCTACTAGCTGTTCCTTGGAGAAACCAGCATCCACTTCAGCTCTCACTATTTCACATGTGAATCCTGCAGCCATTTGTCTGTGCTGTGATAATAAACAGAATGATTAGTTCTAGACACTTTCAGATTTTCAAAGAGAAGGAGAGGCATGCAAGTAATCGATACCTTCATGCAGAGCGCAAGCTGATGTGCTATGTAGTCTTGCAAGCTTCCTTCTGGGCCGTGGAAAATGACATTATGATATTGCTCGACCTATTAACAAACCAAGAAGAGAACTTAGGTGAAAATGCAAGTTGAGAAGGAAAAAAGAAGTGGTACACAGAGTGTAATTCCCTTCAGACTGTCCTCAGACTTTCAAATGATTAAAAGTAAAATTTAGAGATTAGCTTTGCTCATGGAGCACTTGAAGTCTATCATTTTAATGTGAAACACAGGAAAAGAGTACTTAGCAAAAGCTGCCGTTTTTATGAAAAAGCATATACTTTCTTCCATTTTCCATGGTGAGGTTCAGTATGTTTGCTGGAAAACACAGTTCCTAATGTATTTTGCTTCTTGCAAATGTTCTGTAATTTTTTCTGTATTATTCCTTACAGATGCGTTTGGAATTTTCCCAATGCTATTTTGCCTTTTAGTGGTTAAAACAGCAATGTGCTTCATTAAGAAAATTTTGAAAAATACAAAGAAATATAAAGCAGAATAAAAATCACTGACAGTATTTGCACTCACAAGCCACCACTGTAAACAGTTTTATATGTTTCTTTCCAGTTTTTTCTTTGCACAGTGGACGTGTTTGTATTTGTGTGTTTTTTTTTCAGAAGGGTAGATGAGTGTAATCTATTTATGCTGTTGTGTATCAGAGAATGTCTTTGTGCTGATTTCTTAGGTAAAAGACATCTTGATGAATATAAAATTCTTCGATCAACTCTACATATTATTCTATTTTGGAATTAAGTGTTTGAAAGAAATCTAGGTAGAGACTAATCATTCTTATTTTGCGAGAAAGAAAATCCCATGCTTAGATACCCATAGGATTTATTTTTAACCTTTATCCTCATGTATAAGGATATCTCGCCTGAGGACATGCAGAGATTTAGCATGCACTTGGATGGGAAGGTAATTATCACCTACACCAGGCACAGGCAGCCATGTCTGGAGCCAGATGTGGACAGGTGATGCTCCAACCTAACTGGTACAGTTGCTCATGGGTGAAAACTGAGCCACCCAGACTTACAGTCTGTTCTTTCTCTAATTTAGAATGGGACAATGTAAGGGCATGTATGTGTGTCTCTGTGTTGTCACTATATTGTGCTCTGATCAGGCGGTTCCTTTGAGATCATAGCAGAAGGCCACATCCCTGAGAGTAGGTGGGGTGGACTTCTGTGAAGACAGTAAATATGCCCCTGGTCCATCACTACGGGAAGAGGAAGATTCTGGGATATGAAAGGAAAGCTTGAGGAGAATTCCTTAGCATGGAAGGAAGAAGGCTGGGGCCTTTAAGACTTGAGCTTTGGCCTCCAAGGAGCCCAAGAAATGCTTTCGGAAACTCCTAGAAAGGAGAGGAGAGCAAGACTTGACCACTAGGCATCAGACCATGTGCTAAGGAGGGAAGTGGTCTTTTAAGGTGCTCCTTGACGTTGAGCTTGGGACTGGCTTTTAGGCTCTGAAAGGCAACATATGTGTAGCCACCACCAATTTTCTCTGAGTTTGAATACTATCCCATTATTGGTAAACCTTCAATAAAAAAGGGAACAGTTGGAATTCACACTGGAGCCAGGACAGAAACAGGGAGGGTGAGTGACATGCCTGGAAGCAACATGACAGTGTCTGTTGCTGCCCAAGGAATGTCAGGATCCTAAAGCCACAGGCTGAACTCAGCAGTGGCCTGGGCTGTCTTCTGTGGCATTGATGGTCTGTGAACCAAGCAATGGTGGAGGTGCAGGCAAGAATCAAGACTAGAATGGGGGCTTCCCCAGAGACACAGGAGAGAAGAGTATACCAGAAACTTCAGCTGAGGTTCTGCTGCTGCTAAGCAACAGGGCTATGAAGTCACAAGACTTAAGCAGTTAATTATTATTAAAGAATTACTAAAGAATTATTATTGAAGAATAATCTGTTCTCAGTTGTATCTATGACATGGGGAAGGCTGGGAGATGTACAGATTGTCCTTGTCATTAAAAATGTTGCCCAGACTTGTCTAGGTGGAGCCTCTTTCTCCCAATCTTAAATGGCACATGGTAAGTCCTTTCGATATGCAGAGCTAGGCCTTTTTTGGCTTAGAAAATTTTTCTTCAATTATGTTTTCGGTAACTTCTCCTCTCCTAGAGCTGTTTCTAAGGAACATCTATAATGCTTAGTTCTCTCTCTGTTCTCTGTGAGGTATCTGTCATCTTATCATGATCATGACTCTGTCTGTCTCTTCTACACTTGGAAAAGCTCCTCAAGTAGGTGTTGGACTCCACTGAGTAACTGCTCTCTCACTTCTGCTCTTTACTGTCTCCAGGACAACTTCATGCCATCGCATTCTCAGTTGTTCTCACAGTTCCTGACCTCATCCGTCTCTTTCTCAACACTTTTCTTTTCCATCTTAGCCCAGGCTCTACTATGGCTTTCCTGCCCTGTTTTATAATCTACCTCCCTGCATTTATAGACAATTAACATAATTTTCCAAACTTTTTTTTTTCTGGTTTTCTTCTGTTTTTTTTTTGCTATGGTCTGAATGTTTGTGCCCCCTCCAAATTCATATATTGGAATCTTAAACCCTAAGGTGATGATATTAGGAGGTGCTGCCTTGGGGAGGCCCTTATAAAAAAGGTCCAAGAGAGACCCCTCGCCTCTTCCACCACATGAGGACACAGCAAGAAGGTGCCTTCTATGAACCAGGAGACAGGCCCTCACCAGATACTGACTCTGCAGTTCCTTCATCTTGCACTTCCCAGCCTCCAGAAATGTGAGAAACAAATTTCTGTTGTTTGTAAGCCACCTGGTCTATGATATCTTGTGACAGAAGCCTGAACGAACTAATAGACTAGCAAATAATTTTTAGGGTTTGTTCCTCTTGGGTTCTCAGAATGAACACTCTGTTCTGCAGTATTCTTCCATAGGTACAAATGTTAATTTGTACTATTATTTATTTATGTACTGTGAAAGCACAGAAAGAATTCTGCAGTAAGGCAGAATGTGTGGACCCCCACTGGCTTTACTTGCTGTCTGCTGATTTTCTGTCTGAACCCTCTCCTTAGGTCATCAGGTGGCTGGCAGTGTCTACAGCTGGTAGCTAAACTCCAGGGTTTGGCAATGGCTGCAATGGAACGAACTCCTGCTGTTCAACATGGCAGACAAACACATTACATGAACCGCAGCCTCCGGAAGCCCCGCAGCCCAGCCTGCACCTGTCACAGTCCTTGCCCAGAGTGCTCATGGATAACACCCCTCCAGGATGCAGCATGGTCTCACCAATCCCCACCAACCTCCTGCTCAGGTATTTCTAGGAGCTGCAGTTTCTACATGAATGTGAAAGGCCTGCATGGACAGGGAGGAGAGGAGAAGACAGTAGTGCTACACAAAGCAGAGACCGTGCTTTATGCAGTTATTTAAAGGATAAATACCCAATTTTCAAACTGATATAAATCTTGGTTTTTTGAATCTTCAGAAAGATAAGAGATAAATGATAGTGTTTTCCTACTTAATTTCTGGTAGGCCTCACAGTAGGACTACTACTCTACTGTTTCTAAAAGGTAGTGGAAAATTTTTCCAGATTCTTGCCAAAGGGAGACCTCAGTTCTATTTTTCTCTGTCATTGTGATGTTTCATCATTTTTCAAAAGAACTTTAGTGGGAAATTGTGTATTGGGTACTTCCAGCCAGGTGCAATTTTAAACCAGAACCCGAGCTCTCCAAATTCATCCGAAATTGCTATGACTTATGGGTAGAAATTCTATCACAAGAAATGGATTGTTTCACAGCAGTGAAATACGATACAGATTTTCGAGATTTACTGAATATCCTATCCCTGAGATTTCCAACTAGCATTGCTATTTAATCTCATCTTCTGGAAACAAGAGTGCTCTATTTATTATAGCCACCCCGTCAAATGTCCTACACTTCCTTAAGATTGATTTTGAAATCATATAACAGCAAGAGAGCCAACCTCATAGATATACTGTCTTCAGTTTCAACACCTCATTTGTTCTCAGATTGTAGGCTTTTGGGAAATACCGACAGGAAACATCCAATTTAAAATTTCATTGAAAAGTCCGTTCACTAGCAGTAAGCCTTTTGTGTTTACATAGTCTAATATCCTTTGTGGGATAAGGTCAAATATAAATAAATAAATTAGGTAAAGGGAAAAACAAATGTACAGACTTCCAGATCATTCATACATTCTAACACACATATTCCATTAGTAGGTTTCTTCTCATTTCAGGTGTTAATGGTATTTTATTCTATTTTATCAAAGGACATGTAGTTGTGTTGGTTACAATTTAAAATCTGGACAGAAAAGTTAATTACCAGAAGTAAATTCCTGTTACTCTACTGAGACTGGGTAAACATACAAAGCTTTGGCAAGAAAACGTATTTATTTGTTTTAGAGCTACCATATTACATTTCCCCAAATATCGAAATTTGGGGTATAAAGAATATAAATGCTCCATGCTTCCAGCAGAGGGCTCTAAAGACAGAGAGATAGACAGACAGGCAGACAGATTTTTGAGGGTATGTGTGTAAATATTTTAATTGTGTTGAAAGGGGATATGTTATTTATTTATTTATTTATTTAAATTTTATTTTATTTTATTTTATTTGGAGATATGTTATTTAAGAAAGAAAATCAAACTCAACTTCTAAAATTATAGTCTGAATCATCGCCACCAGAATTATCTCCTTTACAACATGACATTTCTGCTTATTAGTAAAGGGACACTGGCCTCATTATCACAATTGGTACCAATCCCTTTTATTCTTGTGTCTTCACAGCCTATTCAGGAAGGTCATCACATGTCAATTAGTGCTTTGTGAGGCAAATGGATTCTGGCTTAGATGGAAACAAGTGACCTCAACCATGGACCATCCATCCCTTTATTTTTTTTTCTTCACAATGTTTTTCTGCAGAATGGGGATTACTAGAGTAGCTGTGGTCTCCACTACTGTCAATGTGGCACCTGTAATGTGTTTTCAGATTTGTGGCATTTTAAAGCAATAAACTTCAACTTTTGTTTGGAGTCTCTGAGAAAAAGCTTTTACTGTCCAGAGACAGTTTTAGGCCAACTTGTTCTGAGACACTAAACTCAAAAAAGAATGAAAAATAATAGGGCTTTATGGAGCCAATAAAATCGGGATGGCTGTATCTCACAGTCACATGCCTTACAGCGAGGAATTTCATTCCAACCTCTTCTGACACAGTTTTAAGGAACTAATTTATTTATGACTTTAGAGCTACGAATGACATAGTTCCTGTCAATTTATTATATAAATTCCCCAAACAATACCGACACATCCAGCATTTGGAATATAAAAAAACTGGAATCCTTCATGTTGGAGAGAGTTTTAACCATTTGCTGAGGTCCTTCTGTATAGAATAAGTTTGGGGAAACAACTCCATCTAGAAATGGTATTTTTTATTTCTCCTACAAACAAATATTATTGTCAAGGTATCCTAAATCCTTGTGTCTTACTTCAAATCCTATGACAGTTTTGGGAGAATTTATGTTTTGGTTTAGGAAAATAAAACTCCCCTACAAAATTAAAGAGAGTCATGATTTCTTGCCATATAAGATTCAACCAAAACCATCAATCAATAAATGATATTATTCTGGTTTTTTTTTTTTTCCTTTTTTTGTCTTTTTTCGTGACCGGCAACGGATCGCAACCCTCAGTGTCGTGCCCGTACCGGACCGGGACCGGCCACGGGATCGCAACCCTCGGTGTTGCTCCCACCCCTCGCTCAGCCAGCAAGCAGCCGGTCTGCATGTGGGATCCGAACCCTCGGCGGGAGCGCCACCACACTTCCCAAGCGGCGCACTATAGCAGTGCGCCACCGGGCCGGCCCTTATTCTGGTTTTTAAAAAAAGAAATGGCTCTTTCTGTCTCATCTTTCCACCAGCTTTTTATCTCCTTATCTGCTTTCTTCTACTTTATACTTGGAATTACTGTATCATCACATTACATATATATTTATTCATTTGTTGTTGTTTTTTAAATCTGTCCTCTCCCACTAGAATATAAGGTGTAAGAGCCTAGGGAATGTGTCTCATACGAAGGTACTTCAAAAAGTTTGTGGAAAAATAGAATTAAAAGATAATACAAATCATTCCATGAACCTTTTGAAGTACCTTCATATACAGCTATATCCCAATTTCTAAAACATTGCCTGTATTTAGGGGGCTCTCAATAAACAGTTGTTAAACAATTGAATTAAATAACTAACAGGATACAAAAACTCACAACACATGGTCTATCCCCTTAAGGAGCTTCTAATTTTCTACAGAGGAGGAATCATTAACAACCATTATAATATATTATTGCCTTAGTCACTTTAAATTTTGAAGTGACTGCTGGAATGAGTGATACATTTTTATTATACTCATCCAAGAGTAAATTGTTAGACTGAGAAAGCCCTTTGTATATACTAAATTGAGATTAGAACTAACAAGTGTTCATTTAGTCTCTGGTCAAACCATGCCTTATGGATTAGGAGGTACACATATAAGTGTACTTTGAATATTCTAGGTATATTGTGACCAACAAACATTGCATTCCACATTTGCTAGTCAACATTAATGTGTACTAGTAATTCAGTTGCATGGCCTTTCTGTTCATTTTAGCATCTAAACAGGTGAATAAAAAGCCCTGAGCCAGAACCTTGCCTATGAGGAGAAGCTAAGAAAGGAAGAGGGAAAGAAGGAAAAGGTTTTACCAGCTGATTTTACTGACGGCCTGAGGCTCACATTCCTGAAAACCAGTTGGTCATACCCTTCAACCTGCAGGTAAGCACAGGAATGAGATAGATGTCCTTCTCAACAAACATAACCCTCAGGCATACTTTGATCCTTTGGAGAAAGGAAAGCAAATAGCAAAGAATAAAAAGGAAGATACCACCTTTCCCACACTGTGAGGCTTCTGAGTGTTTATATGCTAGTGTGGCTGCTGGTACAAAGGTCAGTCCCAACTTTGAGCCTAGATAGATTAGATCAATGGAATGGTTTTGAATACTTCTTTTCATCATCAGTGAAAACAAAGACATCAATTCACAGTTTATGGAAACAACTTTTTTAAAGGGTCTTGGTTCAACTCGTTTATTTATTTTTTTAAAAAAGGATGCCTAAATTAAGGCAACAAGCAAAATCACTGTTTACTTAATATTTTATAATATTAGTATTAGTTTTAGATAGATCTCACACACAGACACAGTATATCAGGGTCTTGCACAATTCTGGATCCATCACTTACTAGGCATGTGGCTTTGAGCATGTCATTTTACCTCTCCCTGCTTAAGTTTCCTCATCTACAAAATGGATGAAATTATCTATCTCATAGAAACATCTTGAAGAATAAAATAAGACATGTAAAAGCCTTTAGCATATTGCCTGGCATGTAATAAATGTTTAGTAAACACAAAGCATTACATTCGTCCATTTTGTATCTAGAACTTGCTACTTTCTCTTGATAATAATATTCTGCTTCCTCCTTTTAGTAACAGACCGCCTAGTTTCAGCAGGGTGCGTGGTTATCCAGCAAAAGACCACACTTCCCAGCTAGGCATGGACCTGCGTATAAATTCTGGTCAGTGGGATGTGGGCAGGGATGATGTGTGCAACTCCACAGAGAGGACGGGACTGCCCTCAGGATAGGACCTGGGTGTGGGCATGGGCACGGCGACTACCTTTTACCAACACCCCAGGGAATAGCAGAGCAGCAGAGAAGGTGCTGAGACCCTGGAGCAGCCCCCTTGTTCCTCCCCCCTCCCTGGACCTCTTACTGCTGGCACTTACATGTTTGAGAAAAATAAACTTCTATCCTGTTTAAGCTATAATTATTCGGTTTCCATTAAAGTGGTCAAATCAACATTCTAACTAATGCTAGCATACTTATTTTAAATGACAGAAGTTTATAGTAAGCCACCTTGATGTTTATGGACATTCTCTTCTGCATTGATGATTATCTACTTGATGTCAAGTCCTTGTTAAGGGAAGATAACCTCCTTCTGCACAAATTGTAACACTTCACTAGTCACAGGTAGTCTCTGGGTCCAGGCAATGGCAATGGACATCTGGATGACAATGACATAAATCCAAACTAAGTGACAGGCAGCCTGCCAGGGCGGGGGCTGATGGGGAAGGTAATGGCATAAGGACACAGGAGGACAGCAGCTCGCACTCTTATGAACATAGAAACAGGCCACCCGACATTCCAATGGCAGGGATGAGAAGCACAGGCCTCCACATGGCAGTGCCAACCTACCAGCCGGAGGTAGTTCTGCAGCATCTGAAGAGGGATCATGGATGTGTAAGTCACACTACTGAGGCAGCCTTCCTGAGGACCTGTAAGAAATACATACACAGAAGGAAAATTGGCTCTCCTTGTTAAACATAAATGATCAAAACACAACAGAATCTATCATAAAAGATTCAATATGTTTGTTGACATACGTAGGCAGAGCTGACGTTTGGCCAAGAAGCACCAGGATGCCTGTGATGTCGTGAAAATATTATCATACTTTGTAATGGCTGCTAAATAGCTGCTGCTCCTGGCCTCCCAAGAGCTCCCCAGCTGCCCCTTCCCTCCTGCAGGGAAGCCCACCCACCTCCCAGCAATCACAGCCAGGCCTCCAGGTCCGGGCCCCAACACTGTAGCTGGTATCTGCTGATTGCTGGGTTCAATGTTTTACTGTTTATAAGCAAAAGTTATTATAATCCTCAGAAAATTTTAGCCTCGGCCAACATGAACCATAGACCTGTGGGTCTGGAGTCTCCCTTTCGGTCTATTGATCATCCACTATCCCCCTGCCCCCCGCCCCAACTTCTGCCATTTTCTCAATACATTGCTTGAGAATAAAGGAATTTTCTGGGATGGGCTCATTCTTTCTTTCTTCTTTTAAACTTCAGGAAGTACAGTTCAAACAATAAAATAAAACCTTATTAGGTGAAACTGAATTTTTAAAGACTTCATTCCCAACTATGGGAAATAGGAGGGTACTTCAAAAAGTTTGTGGAAAATAGAATTAAAATATGAATAATTCCATGAACTTTTTGGAGACTACCTTGTACATGACAAAAAATAAGTAGCTTTTAAAATGAAAGTAGTCCTGTGTCCAATACCGCTTACTAGTGGCATGATGCTAGGCAAGAAAATCAACCTTTCTGAGCCTCAATTTTCTTGTGCATAAAACGGGGATAAACAGAAATACATATCACATTGGGCTGTCATGAGAATTAAATGATTTCATACTCGTAATATGCCATAAATAACAGGCTCCTGCACATAGCAGTTGCCCACTAAACATTAGCCTATAGCATCATAATAATCATATTAAGCATACACTGGACTTGACAGTGACAAAAGACATTTCTCTTTTAACATGGTCTCTGTCACTGTCTGATCAGCATGCCAGTTTGGCCTCCGGTTTGTTCCTAATGAGGGCTGCAATCAGAATGGCAGGAATCAGTGATCAGGACAGATATCACCCATAGGTCAGAGATAGGGCTTTTGATTTTTCCTCCCCTTTATCAAATGTTTCAAAAAGCATCTACTTTCTTAGTAGTGGGAGTCGCACGTGCATGGCCAGAGAACACAGGACAAAAACATGCAGATCTAAGAACAGGTACTGCGAACTGGTCGTGAAACACTGTAAACATCACCTCAGTCTGGAACATCCGTACCTGACAAAAGCACAGTGATCTGCTCTGCCTTATTTTTCTTCATAAAGTCCCATGGGGACTGGCTGTAGCTCTGACCAGCTGACCATGGCATATTTCCTAGTCCCCAAGAAAGAAATAAAACGTCAAGGGCAGCTTAAAAGTAATTTTTCTCATAAGGGCAAACATATGCTATCCTCTGTGAGAACCCTTAAATTGTCACAGGTACATACAGAACATGTAAAGGGTTACGCAAGGGGTTAATTCCCTAATAAAAATTTTTCTGAAGGTCAAAAGGAAGGCCTTCAACCTACAGGTTTCTCCAAAGAAGTCTTTAGGAGGGATTTAGAGAGGTATCTAGAGAGCAAAAATACACTTGGCTATTTCTAGGGTTAAGTTCTCAGGAGCAAAACTGATCATAACCCAAAACTGCTTCATTAACCCAAGCACTTTGGATGAGATATCAGATCCTCTGTGATCCAGACAGTGTGTTACTTTCCAGGAAATTTTTAAGATTCCAGGAAAAACAAAACAGAATTTCTGGTGCCAAGAATAAGGCCTGCCTTCTCACAGCCTGGACCCTCTTCTTACTCTTGCTCAGTAATGGGCTCGCTCCATAGGTGTCTTCTCTAGGAAGGGATCAGTAATAAGTATTTATTTTCATCTCTTCCCTTCCACAGATCAGTTCTTAAATACCAATTCTCAGCATGCCCCCAATGCACACACATGCCCCCAATGCACACGCATGCCCCACTATAATTCTCTGCTTATCCGCTGGCCTGAACTTCCTTTAATCTAGCTTAGTTTATGGACCCAGCAAAATAACATACACACATATATTAATAACAATGTTATAATTGCCAATTATCAAACAGCTGCAGTTAGGCACTAAATTAAGCCTGTTATCCACAAAAACTCAATGATTTTTAGATCTGAAAAGCTACTAGGATGCATTTCTAGAACCTCGGTGACAAGCATGAATACAGGAACAATTAAGCCTTAGCAGAGGTAAGTTTATCTTGCTCACAGAGGTAAATTTATCTCATGGTGGCGAATATCCATTTGCCTTTGCCAGTTTCCAGATTAGCGGGATGAAGACTGATGGAGGGTCATTTCCTTTGAAACATTGTGCTCACTTTGTTTTTCAGACCCACGGGCAGAACCACACTTTGCATAATACTCTGTTGCTGGGGCAAAATGTGTTCCTGAGAATCATTTATGACTTATTTTCTTAATGCAACGATTTAATTATATAATAACAATTCAGTAACAGTAAGAATTTTAATGACCATGCCAAAGATCCATAAAATCAAGTTGTCACGAATAATTTGCTCTAAAAACTAGTGGTAATATATGTTTTGAAAGTGAGTTAGCATATACGAGTGAACAGAATAAAACACTATCTGATATAATAAATAAGCTCATACATTAATAGCCATGGTAAAAGCTCTTGACCAGCCTTTTCCAACATGCGCTGTTGAAAGTATACAAGCTTTCATATAGACAGATTGTGATTTGAATCCTGACTGCTTTGTTCATTAGCTATGTGATCTCAGGCAAGTCATCTTGTACCTAGTTATCTATAAAATGAGGCTGTTGTAAGGACTGTTTATAAAGTACCCAGCACAGTCCTCGCAAAGGAGCATGTTTCCAATACATGTTAGTTCTCCTGGTCTAAGAGGGAAGAAACTAACCAGGAACAATTAACATTTATAGAGCACTTACTATGCTCACCAGAAAGCAAACCTTATCTTTATGAGTTCTTTGGAATCTGTTTTATGGTGTCTATCAAATAGAAATAACCAGTTATCACACTGACTCATCCCATGTAGGATCTTTGGATGTATCTTCATTAAAGTGCTTCTTCTAACTCCAGACTTCATTAGGACACCTGTCCTGGAGGTAAGGGGTTAATGCACTATAGCACTGTTGGTATGGCCCAGGAACAAATTTGGAGCTGGGTTCAGAATGTGTGCATTAGCAAGCAGCTGCAGTGTGGTTAGTTTCTTGCATTTATCTAGAATAGCAAGTGCAATCACAAAGCTTCATCAAGGGCTTTCATGTTCTTTAAGTATCACTTGAGGCATGAAAGCATTTTTATATTAACAGGCAACATTATGTAATAGCTACATTATGAATAGTCAAGTCTTTCAACACCAGCAGCTGCCACAAGGGAGCTTTTTCCATTTGTCAAAACTGTGCTTAATCAATGAACTAAATATCAGGTTATAAAGCCCATTAACATAAATAAACCCGGAAATCTAACTTTCTCTTCACTGTAGAACTGCTGATACCTAGTGTGATGGATCGTACACTGCTTGCACTGAGACCGATGTTGGAGTCAGTGGTGTTATTAAATGTCACGTCTTCCAGACTCCACCATCCATCAGAAGAGATTGCTTGGAAATGATTTGTCAGGGCTTGACTCACGGCTTTTGAAAAGTCATCCCATGATGTCTGTTTGCGGATATTTAAAGTACATATTGTGTTTTCACATTTAAAGTCATCAGAACCATAGTTGCCTGGTTGAATTTCACCCACTGAAATCCTTAAGGGTACTTTAAGAGCATCTGTTAGAAGAATAAAGAATTAGGAGTTTAAAAAAATTCTAGTAGATAAAAACAGCAATAGTATTACGTAAAATAAGCAGATATGAACATTTTAAAAATAAGTAAAAGGACAGCTATTTTATTTCTTTAAATAACCTTAAATTGAACATTCTTATATTGGAGTAAACTTTTGTCTCCCAGTCTCTTCAGGTTCTTTGGAAACATGTTGCACAAACTGTTTATTTTTCCTTGTATCTTTGCCCTTTTCTACTTCACTGACTCATTCTCTTCAGCAAGATTCTCAAATCCTTTAAAAAAAAAATCTGAGAAAACTAGAGCTCTCCCTTTACCCTGAATTCTCTATATTCTCTTTTCTCCTTTTCTTTATGGATAATGTCATGAGCTAGGGAGGTTGCAGTTGTATAAAAGTCAGTATGCTTAGGGTAGGGGCTTCAGAATCATACAGACCATCCTCAATCATGAGCCTCAGGGTCAGGCTTTTACTAGCTGTGTGTACTTGGTAAACTGCCTTGATCTCTCTCTGCCCATAAAATGGAGGAAATGCCCATGGAGTTGTTAGCAAGAGTAAATAAACCTAAGTTTGTAATGGATTTAGCACACTATTTGTTACATAGTAAATACTAGTAAGTATTTGATAAGTGGCGAACAGTAGGAGCTTTTTAAATGATCTTTCCAATCTCTCTGTGATACCAACTGACGGAGGCACCTCTGGGTGGGCAGCACCCTATACACGTCTGTCCTCATGAACTGCACTACACACTTACTAGGTGTCACTGGTGTTTGTTCCTAAATCTGTGACGTCTACTGAACTCATTACTAAAATTAGTGAATTAAATATTCCATAAACTGATAAAAATATGAGTAACTGTTCCTATGAAAACTAAGTTGAATACCTTAGAGACACTTAAAAGGGTTTCTAAAAGACGTTATCTAATGAAGGGTAGATGAGGCAACCATGGGAAATCTGAAAAAGATATTGCTTTTAGTTTGCTTCACAAATGTGTTTAAGTACTCACGCTAAAAATCAGGGATGATGCATTAAAGGTCTGGTTTATTCAAATAAGAAAATATGGAACTTCAATCAGCAGAACCATACTAAAGACCTCTATCTAAAAGCTGGTTAAAACAATTTTACTCTGTATACCTTAAAATTAAAATGAAATGTTTAAATATCTGTATTTTTATGACTTCCTTCTTAAACTGGCTTTTCCCATTAACTGACCAACTACTGGATTATTTTATTTTCCATTTGTCAGTTCTCAGTCATCTTACTTCTCAACAGCATCTGACACAAGTGACCTCTCTCTGCTCCCTGACACATTCCTGCAGATTTCCTCAAACCTCATGGGGCATTCTTTCCTTTAATGTTGTTCCTTTGCTGGTCCCTCTATTGTTTCTAGATTCTTTTGTCTTCTTTTTTGTCTAGAGCCCTTTTCTCTTATTTTTCCTGTGTTCACTCTTTTGGTGATCTCACGAAGTACCATTACTTTAAATATCACTCATAGACTGCTGATTCTCCAATTTATATATCCAGTTCATACTCATCGCTGGAATTCCTGCTGACTTGACATTTCCACATAGACATCCTAACAGACATCTCGCACATGCAAAGCTAAACTCCGGATCTTCATGAGCAACACCTGCTTCACCCACAGCCTTCCCCTTGACAGGTGAAGGCAACTCCATCTTGCCAGTTGCTCAGACTTGAGCACACTGGAATTATCCATGAATCCCCTCCCTATCACACGTCATGTTCAATCCACTGGGAAGTTTTGTTGACTCTACCTTTAGCTATATCCAAACCAAGTATTTCTCACTATTTCTCACCATCTCATCTGCTACAATCCTGTATTAAGCCATCACTATTGTCTCTCACATTCATGTCCTAACAGGTCTCCCGGATTCTACCCGTGACTTCCTACAGGCTGTTTACAACGCAGCCAGTGATGTTACTAAAACATGCATCAGAGCTGTCACTCCTACGGCTGTGTTTAGTCCTTACAATGGCCTATAAATGCTAGCAAGATTAGGCTCCTCCCCATCCTATAACTTCTCTGACCTGTGTTCCTATTTCTCCCCGCCTGCTCACTCTAACGCAGTCACCCTGGTGTGTCTGCAGGTCCTCAGACACACCAGGCACACTGCTTAAGGCCTACCTTAGGGCCTCTGTCCATTTGCTGTTCTGCCTGGAAAGCTCTTGCCTAAGATATCTTCGGAGATGCCCTTTTTATCTTCAAGTCTTTGCTTCAATGTCCTAGCTGTGTGGCTGCCCTGACCGCCATGCTGAGAACTGAAAGCCCCCCTCACACTCCTGATCCCCCTCAGTCTCCTCCACAGCACATCTCACCATCTCACCATACCATATAACGCATCATTTCTTATGCTTATTGTCCATTTTCTGTCTCCTAATGTTAGAATATAAGCTTCATGATGATAATCTCTGTAAAAATTCTGATTTATCTACCTGAGTTGCTAGGACAGCGGCTGGCACATACAGGAGCTCAATAAATAGGAAGGTACTTCAAAAAGTTTGTGGAAAATAGAATTAAAATACAAATCTTCCCGTGAACATTTTGAAAACCCCTTGTCTTTGTGGAATGAATGAATGAAACGGTAGAATTCTAGAATAGTTTTTTCCACTGCCTCTCCATATTATTCATTGCTCAAAATAATCAGCTTCTGCCTACAGAACTTCATAAAATTTGTCTCCCTGACAACTTCCTATTTGCCAAATGTGATGACATTTAAAAAACCCTTACAGCCTAGGGAATTTTATACTATTGAGTTACTTATTCCTTTTGGAAACTTTCTCCTAACTTGGACCTGATCATACCATTGTTTTCTGGCTCTCCTCTTCTCTAATCCTTCCCAATCTTCTTTTCGAGCCATTCCTCCTCTCTGTTCTGTCCTGAAAGTTGGGGTTCCTCCGGGCTTGGTCCTTAGTCCCCTTTTCCCTTACTCTACACATCGTTCGTGTCTGATGGCACACCTATGACAACTGCGGCCCGCTTCTCCAGTCCTGCTCCCACCTAGGGAGTTCAGGCCCTCATTCTGTCCTGCTTGGTACCCAGGCATGCTCCCCCTCTATGGCATCCAGTACCAAGACAATATTTGCACATTACCAATCTCTCACTTCCTTGCTTACAATCATTCTCCCGTTCTTCAGCATCCACAGGATTAAGTCAAAACTTAACCATAGGATCCAGTCAAAAAGGAGTGCAGGGCCTTTTACGGCCTGACTCTAGTTGGGTGCGGCCTTTCCACACTCATCTCCCTCTTCTCCCCTGCGCGGCAGATGTAACTACACACGTGCAGAGATGCCACACTCTCCAGTGCCGTCACACGTGCTGCTGGTTCACCTGGGTGGCTCTATTTTCGGCTCTTTCTTGGCCCAGCCCTTCAACGCTCCTTCGATGCTCTTGCTTACCTCTCCTATGCATATTTTTAAACTTTGCCTCATTCAGAGGTACTCATAACAAACATAAGTTTGGAGATGTATTTTTAAAATTTTACACAGATGGTTTTATATTATGTATCCTCTTATAACTAACTTCTTCACTCAGCATTTTTTAATGTATCTATGGTGATAGATAAAATTTATTTTTAAGTGCTATTCGGTAACTTGAGAGTATGAATTTTCTATAGCTTATTCTACTTATCCATTCCCCAAATTTCCATTTAAAACATGTTTAATTTTCTACCACTACACGCAGGGCTGCAGCGTACATCTTCATATGTCTCCTGGTACACACTTTCAAGGATGTGTCTAGCTTATGTACTTAGGTGATGAATAGAAAATGTTTGTTGAATAAATGAAGAAAAATGGGCTTCTTTGTGCTTTTTTGACACATTCTGCTCTTCAATACTTACTCTGTACAGTTCCTCTGTACTTACAGCTTCTACTGTCAGCCTCATAAAAGTAATCTTACAATCTCAATGCATAGCCTGTCCTTATTGCTTTTCTCAGATTGTCAGAATCACAAATCTTAAAAAGACCTTAAGAAATTATCCACTCTTTTGCCCTTAGGCATATGAGTAATTATTATCCCCTATTAACAGATGAGCAGACTGACGTCAGGGAAGGTTGTGCACCTTGCCTGAAGTTACACGGACCTCAAAGAAGGGTACTGAGATTCAGATGACCCTTCCCTAAAGCACACCGCCTAATGTCCAGTCTTCCACAAGATGTTCACTTACAAATCCTGTCAACATATCTGAGACAGAAATCACACCTGGGTCTCCTTTATTAGTCTTTTACTTCCTAAAGTCCTCCTACGCCCTGCTTTTAGGCTTTTCCCTCCCTGTCCTCATTATATACCATTTCCCTGTCCACCACTCTGGTCCAACTCGTGACACTTAACACTTCTTGATGCTTGATGTTTACAGACTCTCTGTAGGTCGATCTGTCCCATACAGAGCTGCCTACATGATTCAGAAACAACGTCTGAATCTCATTATGCACTATCAAGAATCTCACTAGCTCTTCTTTGCCTGTCATATAAAATAAAAACTACTAAAACTAGCATTAAACTGCCTGAAACATCAACTGCCCTGTCCCGCTCTGCCAATTTCCCCTCTAATCACATCTCTACTTCAGCCAGGCCAGTATGCTTTTTACCTTTCATGTCCAACATACCAGAGTTATCTATGTTTATTCCTTCTATTTTTTCTAATATTTAATATCAAAAAGTGGAATTGAAATAAATGATAGCATTTACATTCCAGAATAAGTTTTTACCCAACCGAAAGTTGTCCACATTTGTTATTAGGTTAGGTTCAATTTATGTATATAAAAAGCTGAAATATGATAAGAGAAATATTGTATCTTAGAGAAATCCTATAAAAGGCACTGCTTCAGCCAGTGAATAGTGATTCAAAAGTTTAAGGCCCTGAAAGCTAGATTTTAATGATAAATAGAGACTTTTTTAACCAAAAGATACTCAGATGTAAAGATACTTTCTATGATTCTCTTTTATCTTCCTAAATTAAAGTACCCTTGTAGTTTGCATATATTCTTTCTTACCACACTAAAGTTTTCTTCACAAGGTAAAAGAATACAAACGCATGTATTAAGTTGAAGATTAAAACATTACTTCAATTTTTAAAATTCTGCTTATCCTAAAGTCGAATTACTGATACAGTTTGCTGATGAGAATTGGATGATAATCTTGATAAGAGGTTATAATGTTTTGTAATAATGATCTAGCATTCCATATTCATAAACCCACAAGTGAGGCCTTCATAAAATGTGCTGAGGAGCATATACTCTCAGAGCTAGAGGGGACCCAAGAGATCAATTATCTTCACAGACAGGCAACCAGGCCCTGGGAGACAACTGACTTGCCTGGCTCATGCGATCAGCTGACACAGAGTACACAGCTGGGATTTCTCATGCCCTACTAGTCTAATGTCTAGAAGGACAATCTAAATCAGAAGAAAAAAGCAACAATTATTTAGAATGCTCTCCTAGGTCCATAAAATACAAGGAAGAATTCGCATTATTTCAATAGCAATTAATTCTGCAAAAAGTCATTCTGCGTGGAAAAAGAATTAATTACCAAATTTATAATCAACAAAGTGTTTTTGCAACAGCTAAGGCTCAGAAAAGGTTAAAGAGAGGAGAAGACTACAGTTGCATTAATATTTTTCCCATTGTCCCAGAGTCCCCAGCATTGTAGAGGAAGGATGAACAATAAGCTCCAAAGGACACTCACTCAGGTTCTCCAGCAAATGCTTGCAGTCATCAGTCGCAACGTCGTGCACAGTCCGATTGCACTTGTCTCTCCTTTCAGGCTCGAGCCCTCCGTGCCTACACAGGATCTCTAGGCAGTTCTGTAAAGACAAGAGCTCTATTACCTCCAAGTCCAAATGAATTAACTTGAATGCAAAACCCAAGGGAAAAGCTAGTTGCCTGTAGCAAGACAATCAAGAATTCACAGCTAGAAATCTTATTTCAATTCCAGCAACACAAATATACAGATTAATTTCTGATTAGTCTAAATAATGTCTAGAAATGCAAAGCAAAGGGTGCTTCATTTAAATGTGAATCATAGGATCATAACATTGCTTCACAGAATAGCCTCTTAGGTTTCAAGAAAAAAAATTAGCTTATTAATCATTCAGTTTGCAGAGTGAAATTAAGACTGAAATTGACTTTAGAAGACAGTTTCCTTTTGTGGTAATTTGGTAATACAAAGCAAAGGGCTTTTGCTACAGCTGGATGCTCCTTGCTGTCTTCCAGACTATGGACTGCTTTCTTGGTAATGTAAGTGCAGGGATCCAATTTTAAGAATTTTGTCCCAGAGTCCTCATAAGAATTTGTATTTGAGATCTTACACTGCCATATTTTTCTATTTGAAAAATATGATGACCATGTTGATTGAGTTTTTAGAAAAACATTCCCAAAAGATACTGAAGTTATGTTCCTTCTATTATTCAGCTTTTTCTTCTGTATTGCTTAAGAAAATTTCCATTCAAAAAGTATCAGTAACTATGAACTGAAAAGTCTTAGTCCTCCATAATTTTTCAAATGCAAAGTAAAACACTATATACATAGTAAAAGACTACACACACACACACACACACACACACACACACACATTTTCTAATAAATAATTGCATGGCAGGATATTACAACAGGATATTTACTAAGGAATTCTTCTATATCAACTTTTACCAGTTCATGATTTGTTTACTGATCTCCCAGAAGAATAAGGAGAAAGCTGAATAGACTAGAAACCATGAAAAGGAACTAACAAGCAAAACAAGCATCACTCCCCTAAATAAACACACACACACACTCACACATGCATGCACGCATGCACACACGCTCACACATGCATGCACGCATGCACCACACACGCACACAGGGCTGGCTTGCATTCTGACAACACAGTAAACCGGGCAGTCTGAAAAGCCTTCTTTAATCCTGCTGTTACACCTTTTTCTCTGTTTCATAAAACATATTTTTTCCTTTTATAATGTAAAATATTTTTACTAAAGTATAAAATTCACATAGAAAAGCAGACATAGTGTACAGCTTGAAGCTTTACCACAAAGTGAACCTACTTGTGGAAGGAGCACTTTGGAAGCCCTCTGGAAGCTCCCTCTCGAGCCCTTGGCCCTCCCTTCTCCTCCCAGAGGTAACTACTATTCTGATTTCTAATATTGGACATTGGTTTAGCCCAATTTTGAACTCTATGTCCATGGAATAATACTGCAGGTACATTTCTACATTTGGTTTCCTTCATTCAACATAATGTCTCTAAGATTCATCCATGTATTGGGAGTAGTCATAATTCATGTTTTTTTTAAAAAGGTATTATCGTGTGGTATTCCATTACATGAATATACAACAATTGACTTATACATTCTCTTGTTGCTGAATATTTGGGTTCTGCTGTGAGCATTTAGTTCATGTCCTGTGGTGCATGCTGGTACACACATGCTGGTATACACTAGAGCTGGGCCTGCTGGAGCCCAGGCGTACATCTGTTCTATGTGAATATATACTGCAAAGGCTTTCAAAAGTGGCTATACCAATTTCCACTTCACAAGTAGTATATGTGAGTTTCGGTTGCTTCATATTGCCTCCAAAACATACTTTAAAATGCAAAAATGAGTTCACAAGAAAATACAGGAAATCCCTAAGGGCCCAAAAGAAAAAGAGTAAGCTGAAACCACAAATTTGGTGAAATTTGCAGGAAGCCAAGGCTTTTTGGAGGGCAAAGTTGATAGAGCTTTTTTGGGGGGATGGGAGATGAGGCCTTGGGCCCCACAAAATGGAGCACTGATCTAGGGGAACCCCGAGTAAAGAAAATCCATATGCCAGCAAAGGGAACCAACATTTGTTTTTCAGTGCCTGCCCCTGCTCAGGTGGGAGGGATCTCCTCTAAAACTCACCAAAGTCTGGCTTTTGTGAGTCTTGGGTTCAGATTTAGGAAATCACTAAGCTGAGAAATTAACTGAAAACAAAATTAAACATATAAATAACAGTTCTTATCAAGGTATTCTTACTACTTTGTATGGAACCAGGAAATGAATGATAAGATAGTGAATAAGAAATTCAGATAATATTGATTTAGAAATTAACTCTAATAAGAGGCTTAAATAGAATGGAATCTGAGAACTAATCTTTGTATATTCCCAAAAGGATAAGAGATAAAAATAATACATTTATTATTCAGGTTAGTACTTGTAGCAAAAGTGGGTAAAAGACAAGGCAGATCTGGATTCTATTCCTGCCAATATAAATGATTATATCTATAACCACTGGTAAATTATTTAACATTTTTCTGCTTCAGTTTCCTAATCTGTGTTTCAAATTTCTATATCTCAAAGGATGGTTAAATAACTTAAATAAAACATGCCTACAAAGCTCTTACACTGTTGGCATGTACTAAGCTCCCAACATTTATTATAGCAGCCGTTATTATTATAATCAACATCATCATCAATTAGAAGAAAAGCCCAAATATTCAGTTAACTTGCAAGGTATTATGCACATCAACAAGTGGCACTAATCTCAAGATAATTCTAGAAGATCTTAAATTATAAACAGAAATGAAAAAAGGTTATATTAGTCTGTTTCTGTTGCTTATAATAAAATACATGGAACCGGTAATTTGTAAGAAAACGAAATTTATTGCTTCCAGTTTCAGAGGCTGGAAGTTCAAAGTCCAGGGAACACATCTGGTGAGGATCTTCTCTAGTGGTTGCTTTACAGAAATGCAGGAGTCTCACACGGCAGAAAATGGTGGAGCAGAGAGAGAAAGACTCTCACATGCTCTCCTTTTAAAGCCCTCAACGATGTTCCTGACCACCATTATTAATCCATTCACTACGATGTGCTCCTACAGTTGAATCGCCTCTTCAAGGCCCCACCTTTCAATTGTCATAATAGGATTTCCCACCCCTTTACACTGTCACAGTGAGGACTAAGTTTTGGGGGGAAGTCAATCCACAGCAAAGGTGCAATGCAAGTTTACAGTACAACACAAGCCGGCAATTCTCCTAAAATAAGATTCCTTCATTTCTGACAGTCAAAGTGGGTTATTTTTAATTTTTATTACTCTCAGGTAGGTCAGTGGGCAATCATATAAGCAACACCTTTATCTTTAAGGAGGCATGAAATGTCAGTCCCCATGATGGTAACACATATCCAAACACTGCTATAAGTGTAAATTCTGCAGCGCTGTGCTGGCTCCAGGGGAACACAGAGATGAAAACCTTGACCCAACTGATTTACTTTATGGAAGAGCATTTACTTATGGAGAAAAGTATCCATGTGCTCTCCTTGCTGGGTGGGGTGTGTGAAGAGGACAAGTGCTCTGATACCAGTCTCTCCTTGTGGAAATGAATCCCCAGGGGGTCTAAACTGGGCAGGGTGTTATGCGCAGGGATATGGAGCAGGAGGTACAGGTGAATGAGTCTAAGCTAAAGTCCTATTAAGTAGGATATAGATGCACCTGCTATAACAGAGCTTAAAGTAGTGGCTTAGGCTTCAGCTTTTTTTTTTCCTTTTTTTGTCTTTTTTCGTGTCCGGTAACGGATCGCAACCCTCAGTGTCGCGCGCGTACTGGACCGGACCAGACCGGCAACGGGATCGCAACCCTCGGTGCTGCGCCCGCACCTTGCTCAGCCAGCGAGCGGGAACCGGTCTGTATGTGGGATCCGAACCCTCGGCGGGAGCGCCGCCACGCTCCCAAGCGGCGCACTGTAGCAGTGTGCCACCGGGCCGGCCCAGGCTTCAGCTTTTATTTCCATTCACACCTCATTTGCTGGAACTTAGGTATGTGGTGACAGTTATTTGCAACAGGGGCTAAAGAATGTAGTCTTTATGTCGGGTGGCCACAGGCCCAGCTGAAAATGGAAGAATTGTTATTACAAAGGAAGGCAGAAGAGATGTTGAGGGATGATGAGCAATCTCTGGTCCTTTAAGGAGAGCTGAGAAGCAAGGTACCAGTTCCAGGAAGACTAAGTAGAAACTCCAAGTCCAAAGAGCCAGAGATAAAATGCAAGTCAGGACAGGGAGTTGAAGGTTTGAAAATGAGCAGAGGGACAGAAAGCAAAACAGTGTGCAAATGCACAGGTAAGGTACAGGTCAACTGCTGAGAACAACCTTGGGTACGGGCGTACCCGCTGCTGCGCAGGGTGGGGGAGGTGGAAGCCGTTAAAATTAGAAATAATGACATTAGCAAGAAGGTAGTCTTAGGTGTGAGTGGCCAAAGACAAAGGTGACTGGAGGCAGCTATGAAGGGCTGAGTGCTGAGCAGTTTGCAGCAGTCTCTGTGGCATAGGAATGTGTTTAGGTAGGAAAGTACCATCACCTGCCCTACCCTGAAAACCAATTGGTGCATTTGGAAGATATATTGGAAAGGAAGAAGGTGATGGAAAGGAGCCCAGTTAAGAAACAAATGTAATAGTTGTTCATTCACTGATGAAACAAACATTCAGTACTTTTGGGCCAGAGACTATGCTGGGCACAGAATATACCAAATGAAAAACTGATTTTTTGGAGGCAGTGGAAAGGGAGAGAGGCATGCAAACAATTACAACATAATTGTCTCTAAGTGGAGTGCAGAGAGGTGCCTGGGGAGCACCTCAGTCCTGGAAGCCAAGACTGAAGCTGAGATGTTTTCCAGGCGAGAAGAGTCAGGGCAGAAGAAGAAGCCATCTGAGGTCATGTGAACAGCAGCGGCAAAGATAAGAGAGTGGGGACACAGGATGTCTGCACAGTGGCAGTCACACCTGGGTAGAGCACAGACACGCCAGGGAAGGAGACAGAAGTGCAGGGAAGGAGGCAGAAAACTCAGGCCACGCAGAGAGGGACT